AGAAGGAAATGGAGGTGATGAATAGGTGATAAAGCTACTAGTTATCATGCTAGATGTAATGCTTGACAATGTCATGAAGATAACAACTAATTAACTCTTCCTCTATTAGGTCTACTTGAGAATAATTGAGGATTCATGTGATGATGACACCTAGTGAGAGAATTAGATTATACTTGACAATTGTTTTTATTGGATTTAAGGATAAGGCACAAAAGTTGACAAGAGCACTCAAATCAACAAACTTGAATTTGAGTGATGGTCTTTGATAAGTCTTCATTATCATGAGTTAATAATTAGTAAAAAATATAGTTTTAGCCTTAACTCATGATAAATAGACTTATATTTGTGTTAAAAAATGATTTATGGTTTTCAGTTGATTAATGTGAATTTTTGGGTAATTATGTGATTTTATATAATTTTTACAGTCTTACTTTTGAGATAAATGAAGAACAAGAAATAAAAATAAAAATATTGTAAAATGGGGGACCCGCCGGCCAGCCGGGCCCGATAGGGCATGTGTACGCCACTCCCCTTCCATGTCACTGGTGGCCAGCTAGCTATGGGGCAAGGAGTGGTCATACACGCAAGAGAATGGACTTTGCTTATAAACCTAACATTATTATATATTTGCTCGAAAAATCAGCGCACAACTGATGTGGGACTAAACCCACATCACACTTTCCTCAGAAGAGGCGGGGCGACCGGCGTGGGTTCGAATCCTCCCAGAGTCAAAATTCATATATTTTTATCTGACTATCGTGACTTTCCTGTAGATCGCTAGTGAAGGATTAAGCAACGAGAATCACTGGATCATTGACGAAAATCTCGTCAATGTGATTCGCGGAGCATTGCTACTAAAATTGCTAAACGATTCACGATAAAAGGATCGTGAATCCATCGAGTAAATCATCTCCGATTGATCGACGAACAAGCCATCGTCGGGAAGAGGATGGTCCGCCGGGAGATGAGTCACCACCTCCTGAGAGCATACCAGATGCGATGAAGAGCCTCCTCTTGTTGCGCGGACCTGAGGATGAAACTCCCTGACATGCGCCCTACCTTCATCCAACTCTTCTCCGTCAGGTGATAGCCACCAAAGAACCGCAAAGTCATTGTTTTTCCGCTTCGCCGGGTGACAGCCGCTGGAGACGATTCGATGACTCACTTCATTGATCTCTAGACTTCGCGAGAAGATCTAGAGATTGCCCACGTCGTCTTTGTCCAATGAGAACCTTCGAGGCTGTGGACACTGCATGACGATCCTCCCGAACGCTTAGGATTCCGGTGCATCGTCGACGCATCACCGTCGCGACGCTGGAACTTTATTTTCCTACTTTCAATTTACTTTACGCTTCATTTAGTGATAATTTTTGTGATTTTAATTTACCAAAATATACTTTGTTCTATTACGATTCTTCCGACTTTTACAAATCTTAATTTGATCAATTAAATTGTCTGTAATCGCTTACGTAAGAATCGCCGAGCAGAACTCTGTTTCCACCCAATTTGTGCTCGTCGGGCACTAACATCATCCTGATGTCCGCACCCTTATTTTCCTTTTTCGTGAATATTAAATATATTTCCTTTTTATTTCCTAGTATAAAATTCCTAGAAAATTGTATTCATTGAGAAAAATTCTGAATAATTACCAGATATTATATTAAATCCTTGTGATCGACTTGGAAAATTACCACTATTTTTTGGAATTTTTATTAAATTATAATTGATATATGTATTTAGAAATATTTCTAAATATCCAAAAATTCATATTTTCTAGTTTTATAAATTTTATATTTGCGTGATTTAATATACAACGACTGAGTCACGTCAGCCTTCTAAAGGGAAATTAGATGGGTTCTTGAAAAAGCTCAAGGAGGAGAAGGTGTCATGGCATAGGATAGGGAAGGAGAAGACTCAGGCTTGGATAGACTGCATCTAGGACACTATCAATAGGGAGAGATAGAGGCTGCAGGAAGTAGATATCATCCAATCCAAGCTGCTCAAGGAGCTTGCCAAGGCAAAATTATCAGTGAAGTACTTGTAGGATTGTGAGAAGGTCTGTGACAATCTAGCGAACAAGACATGAGAAGATAAGGCCAACATTGAAGCTCTAAAGAAGGAGAATTCAGATTTGAGTGATGCAGCAAAACTTGAGGAGGGAATGGCTTGAACAAGTTGTGATCAATTTTGATGTTGTGTGGGTTGAAGACACATCTTGAATACTCAAAAAATGTGCTCCAATTATTGTACTTTCACTCTAAATCCACAAGGTAAAGAGGACAAGTCCCTTGAGTCCACAAGGGGGTGATTCTGAATCCATAGAATTAAGAATAGGTTCCTTGAGTCCACAGGGGTGTTGGAGTCCACCAGTAGAAGGAGAGAGCTTCAAGAAGAAAATTCACAAAATTGTATTGAAAAAAGGTAATCTGCCTCTAGGGCTACAAGGGGTGGCTTTAAATAGGCTAAAGAGTTGATTTGGGTGCCAAGATTTGAATTTCAAATGAAATTTAAATTTGAAATCAAATTTTGGTTGAAATTTGAATTTCAAATGAAAATTTGAATTTCGGATGAAATTTGAATTTCAAACGAAAATTTAAACTTCAAACGAATTCGAAAAATAGTAAAAATAGATATATGAGCCTAATTTCATAATTGGGCCAGTTAAGTAAAGTGGACTTGAAGCTGCAATAGTAATGGGCTTCAAGGTGCATCAAGTAAAGTGGGCTTCAAGCTGCAATAGTAATGGGCTTCAAGGTGCATCAATACTAGGCTTCAGGCTTCTTTAGTACTGGGCTTCAGGGTTTGGGCTGCATCATTGAGAGAAGATGCAGAGGATGCTGCAGATGGCTGACGTCTGGCCCGAGGAGAGGATCACAGATGAAGCTAATTGACGCTAAGCTCGCACTCGATGAAAAGCGCTCTTAGCTGGACGAGCTTCTCTCCTCTCTACAAGAAGTTCGTCAGGAATCAATAAGCTCGAGACCTGCTTTCTAAGATCTGTCAGAAGTCGAGCTGCTAATAGGATCCCGTCAGTTTCATTCAAATGGAAGAGCTTTTTCCCCAGCCACCCCCCGCTGCAGAGGATCTCTTCTCCGAGATCGAGGAACTCCATGAAAGGAGTATCGAGCCGCACGGAAGAATCATCCCTCGATGTAGTCAGCAGTCGAAGATCCCCCTTCAATCGAGCCACCAGATCCCCCGTCCGAGTAAAAACGCAAAGAAGACGACGACACCTGCGAGGCCTTTACTCACCCAGGGGGTTCCCCTGCTCCGGCAGCCTCCCTGGCCGAAGCGGCGGCGGCTCATCCGCCATCGGAAGATGAAGTGAGATCTCCTCCGATCCAACGGGAGGACCGAGGAAGACGAAGGGCATCCCCCATCGCAATCTGGGGGAGCTTCTCTGGAGGATCAAGTGGAGGAGCCTCCAGAGGACTGACAACTAAATAAGACTGATTTGGCGGGAACCGCTTCTCCCACGAACTGAAAATTTAAAATGGAAAGGATCCAAGTGAAAGTTTGTATACAAGAACACGAGGACTTTACCAGAAAAAAAAACAAACAAAATTGATAAATTACCAGAATGCCATTTTCCAAATTTAGTATTAATCTAATTTGCACAATATGGAGTCATTATGAGCACTCTGTCATGTCCCGTGCTAAAAATATAATCCGTGGAAAAGGAAAAAGAAAAAAGAAGAAACCATTGATATTTGGTGTTAGAACACTCCAAAACCCTACATTATGACGCTTCAACAAATAGAGGCAGTGCCGTGCCAGGCTCAAGAATAGTTCAAGCCCTGAATCTCTTCAGGCTTGGGCTCACGAAATGGCCCAAATAGGCTTTTGGGCTCGTGTTGGTTTAATTCGGCTATAACATCACGCCCAGTCCATCAACATAGACTCTTCTGAGTTGGGTCCCACATTGCGCGTTTTTCGTTTTTCTTCAGATATTAAATATTTAGTTAAATTAATTAATCGAGCAGGCAAGAATGGCCCAAATGGTTTCAAGATTAAAATTCCAAATATGACCAATCTAGAAAATTTGGCAACAAATCAACCTTGAAAACCTATATATTTATTTTATTTGATAAAAATATATATTAAATTTTAATATTCGAGAATAATAACCTGGCGTTTTGCCGTAGAATTCAATGGGTAATCCTATACCGAAAATTTAGATGATATTAGAATGAAATGTGGGCTGAAATGATGCAATCAAATTCTTGGAGGGCTTTTCCGCAAAAAGAAAATGAAATTAAAAAAAGTTTTTTTATTTTGAGAGAAAAAGAAAAAGTATTGCCGTGGTGGTTGACTAGGGTCGTCTCTTTCCTTTCAACCGACCGAATCCATCCTTATCCTGGTAGGTCAGCCCGTCGCCATGGACGCTTGCGGAGAAGGAGAAGCGCCAAGGTGGCGGCGGGTAAGATGGGCAATGGCGGCTCGGCCGTGATTCCCATGGGATACCAGGGGCGGATGTGGATAAGTTGCTGCTAGCCTACCAATTAAGAATGCGGTGCTCATGCCGGGTCTGTCCTGGGAAGCTTCAGCGCCAGCTTCCCCTGGGTCGAAGAAAGCCCGATCGGAACGCCTCCTACATGTCCCCGTGTTCCTAGCTCTGGGATCCTCGGACTGTTTCTCGATCTTTCCGATCTCTGTCCTCCCCACGTTGGAGGGGTAGATCCTTGGTGGATTTTTCGGATTCGATCTGTCGGATTCTGCAGGTTCCGTGAGATTTGGGGTTTTTCTCAGTGGATCACGGTGAGTCGTGGTCTTCGACCCTCTCTCTCTCTCTCTCTCTCTCTCTCTCTCTCTCTCTCTCTCTCTCTCTCTCTCTCTCTCTCTCTCTCTCGTGATCTTATGGTAGATTTGCGTTGATGATGATGATGCGCTCGGTTGTTTCGATTCCTAGCGCGGAAGGTCTTACTGAATCGGAGATTTCGATCTCTTCGCCTGTTGATGATGGCAGGGAAAAAAACCTGATCCGGCCTGTAACTGAGGAGATGGGCCACTGTTTCAGCAAGGGCTCCGAGCCAGCGGGTAATGGATACCAACCACCGCCACCGCAGCCCTACAAGCCCTCCCCGCCGCCCGCCGCCGCTCACCACCCCCAGCAGCCCGTCCAAAGCCACCCCCAGAGTGATCATCAGAATCATCACCAGGGTCATCACCAGGGTCATCACCAGGGTCATCACCAGGGCCAATACCATGGCCATCACCAGGGTCATCATCAGCAGAGTCACCAGCGCTCTGCCCCTCCTCCAGTTGCACCAGTCTACACTCCCCCTTCCCCCAATAAGCACCTCCCTTCTCCACACTCTGATCCCGCCGCCGCCGCCGAGACCATCCTCGGCAAACCCTTCGAGGACGTGAAAGCTCGCTACACGATGGGCAAGGAGCTGGGGAGGGGCCAGTTCGGCGTCACCTACCTCTGCACCTGCAATACCACCCGGGACAAGTACGCCTGCAAGTCCATCTCCAAGCGCAAGCTGGTGAACAAGAGCGACAGGGAGGACGTCAAGAGGGAGATCCAGATAATGCAACACCTGAGCGGGCAGGACAATATCGTGGAGTTCAAAGGCGCGTACGAAGATAAGCACTCGGTGCACGTCGTCATGGAGCTCTGCGCCGGCGGGGAGCTCTTTGACCGTATAATCGCCAAGGGGCACTACTCAGAGAGGGCGGCGGCGGCTATCTGCCGCTCCATTGTCAACGTCGTGAACATCTGCCATTTCATGGGGGTCATGCACCGCGATCTCAAGCCTGAGAACTTCTTGCTAGCCACCAAAGAAGAGGGGGCAACCCTCAAGGCGACCGATTTCGGGCTATCTGTCTTCATCGAGGAAGGTAAATGCCTCGCTCTGCACGCGATCTGATGTTTTTCTCGTGGCTTTTTCTCCATATTTCCATGTTCGCTCAGCGTGGCCACCAGAATTTCTGAGAGTTCTCTCTCTAAGCGTCCATAGCCATTGTTGTCTCTCTAGACTGTGGTTTCAAATCCATCGCTCATCTTTGAGCCAGCTGATCCCAGATTCATCGCTCTTCCCATGATCACCTATCTGGGCACCTTTCCTGATCTCTCAAGTCTGTTCATCAGCTCTAGTGTCCGCTAACATATGCATGTGCATCCCCTCTTTGGGAACTTAAAATCTTCGTTCAAATAGATTGGCGGCCTGAATTTAGGTACTGAAATTATGGAAAAAATGTGGGAAATAAAAGAAACTCCTGTATTGTATGGAATCATTCCCTCTCTGAAATCTCATGTGGTAGGCGGAGTGAATGGTCCCTCACAGACCCTTTCCCATTATCAGATAGCCTTGTCCGGGCATACACCCAAGTACCTCGAGATAGAGAAAATTGATGGTAAGAATGCTCCCCAGCTCCCAAATCCCATTGATGGTAAGTAGGGTTCCTTGATCTACCCTACTTGGTCTCAAGGTTAAGCTGGCCACAGCGTTTTTTGAAACCCTAATTATCTCTGCGACTGGCTGCGGAATCCTCCCACGAGTTGATCTGCCAGCCATCTATGGGTAGGGTTTAGTGAATCTTCTTCCTCGTGACTTCTGCGTGCTCCCTTTTATGAATGCCACCCAGGGAGAACCCATTTATAGCAATCTGTCTATAGTCGCATGTTTCTGAAATATCTATTCATCGACAAATGGTCAACGGCGGACTGAGCTTCTCCCCTGGGAGAGTATTCCTCTCACTAAGCCAGCTTCAATCTCCTCCATTCAGTAAGCAGTACTTCAGAAAAAGGAAACCCCCTTGCTGACCCTCTCTGAGGAATCCATTTCAGGGAAGATGCACAGGGAGATAGTGGGGAGCGCCTACTATGTGGCTCCCGAGGTCCTGCAACGATCATATGGGAAGGAAATCGACGTCTGGAGTGCTGGCGTCATCCTCTACATACTCCTCAGTGGCGTGCCGCCCTTCTGGGCTGGTGAGATCCCCATCTGTGGCTTCACGTTCCCTCTGAGCGTTCCCCTTTCCTGAGAACCATCAGCTGCCGGTACTCTGCAGAAACAGAGAAGAAGATTTTCGACTGCATTCTGAGGGGTGAGATCGACTTCGACTCCGACCCCTGGCCGACCATCTCGAGCAGCGCAAAGGATCTGGTCAGAAAGATGCTGACCAGAGATCCAAAGAAGAGGATCACCTCGGCCCAAGTTCTTGGTAGCGGATTGTGATTTTTCTCCCCCCCTCTTTTTTTTTATGATATTTATTTTTAGAAATTCCTGCTCAGAGCATCCGTGGATCAGAGTGGACGGGGAGGCATCAGACAAGCCAATTGGCAGTGCTGTTCTCTCGAGGATGAAACAGTTCAGGGCGATGAACAAGCTCAAGAAGATGGCACTCAAGGTGAGGGGGGGGGGGGGTGGTTCCTCCTACACGGGCGATTTCTGCTTTGAGTTGACTTTATTTTACTTTATTTTGTTTACTGATGAGGTTGGTTGACTTCGGATTCTTCCAGGTCATCGCCGAAAGCCTCTCGGAAGAGGAGATAAAGGGATTGAAGCAAATGTTTCAGAATATGGACACCGACAGGAGTGGGACCATCACCTATGATGAACTGAAGACTGGGCTGGCCCGGCTCGGATCGAGGCTCTCGGAGGCTGAAGTCAAGCAGCTCATGGATGCTGTATGCACCTCACTCACTCCCTCCCGGTGGAAAGTCTCCTGATTGATTAGTCTCCACGTCCACACTTGGTCAACGCCCCCATGTGGGCCCTCCCCATTATGTGTTTCAGGCTGACGTGGATGGCAGTGGAGCGATTGACTACTTCGAGTTCATCACCGCCACGATGCACAGACACAAGCTAGAGAGAGAGGAGCACCTCTACACGGCATTCAGATACTTTGACAAGGACAACAGCGGGTAAGTCGGCCTTTCGGTGGCCAATTTCCGTCAAGTCAACTTCCTTCAAGCTAGCTGCTTCGATGTCTGGGCACCGGGCCGGGCTTTTCGGGCCAACCAGTTATTTGACGGTCTCTGTGAATGGCCTTTCTCTCTCATCAGGTACATCACGAGGGATGAGCTACAGCTGGCGATGGAGGAGCACGGGATTGGGGACGCCAACAGCATCAAGGAAATAATATCTGAGGTGGACACGGACAACGTAAGATCGTATTTCTTAGAGGAAAAATAATAAAAATCTGTCAAGATCATCATCTTCGTCTTGTTTTTATTAGAATAATAAAAATAATGATAATAATAATAATAATTGAGATGGAACTGTTTGTGGATGATTTCAGGACGGGAGGATCAACTACGACGAGTTCTGCGCCATGATGAGGAGCGGGACGCATCCACCTGCAGGGGGATAATAAGGAGCTTTGAGGAGGGTGGGGGCTTGGAGCGGATGTAGAAGGTTAGAGAGAGAAAGAGATTCGGCCGTGGGGTTTCTTCTGTCGGCCGGCCTCCGGTGATCGTTTGGAGGGGGTTTGTGTGAATATTCTTGCATCATTTGATCATCTCTTCTTGCTCTAAAGACGCCCTGTCCTCTCTCTCTCTCTCTCTCTCTCTCTCTCTCTCTCTCGCTCGGACAGACGACTATCTAATCTAAGATTGGGAGCTCTTTCCTCGAGCGTTGACTTCCTGTTATTGGCCACATCTTTCCATCCCTCATTGGAACGGCAGTCGGTATCCTTCTCCAGAGATTCTCGCCCTCACAGGCTCGGGGCCCATTCTTCCGAAAACAGGAGAAGCAAGGGTGGTTTGAGGCGCCAGATTGAAGCCGTTGACCAATTGACCTTCTGCACTCGAGGAAGTCTACTCTTCTCGTAACGAACTAAAACCAAGATTCCATTCAGCCAAGGGCGCTGAGGAACCCCAAACTCCTAACTCTGGAGGGGAATTATTCAATCTTAACGTATAAGAATAGGTGTTAACAAGGAAAAAGGGTACTCTTTCATCAGGTCAACCTTGTTGACATTTCACGCAAGACGGTGAAGAGAGAGTCAAAAGACATGGAGCATTTAATGTTTCTTTTTTTTGTTTTTAGTGTTTTTGGGCTAAAGGACAGCGGCTCATTTTAGGCCCGTTTATTCCCCATATAAATACTCTCTTTCTCTCTCTCTCTCTACTCACTGCAAAACAGTTTGAGACATCACGAATTTAGTGCTTTTTTTCTGTGCAGCGAATTCCTTCTTTCGCAAATCTGGTCCATTGTCTCCACATTTTCGTCCTTATTTTCCTACAAACCTTTTTTCCTTACGAATAAACGGCTGCATACAGGAAGAAAAAAGGCAGCTTGGGGCTCAGCCGAAGCCCCAAGAGTCAAAGCAATGAAAACAGCTCCCATTTTTGTCGACTAACAGTCCACAGGGGTCAAAGCAAAGAAGTGGTAGGGGGGGATGCCGCAGCTCGAGTCCGATGTCTTATGGTGAGATAAGAGGACTTTTCCTCCCCAGTCAGCTCTTCAGCAAATCAAAGTGAAGTTGACTTTACCGTGCATGACACAACAAAACTTGAGGAGGGAGTGGCTTGAACAAGTTGTTTTCAACTTTGATCTTGTGAGGGTTGAAGACATATCTTGAATCCTTGAAAAACATGCTTCAATTGTTGTCTTTTCACTCTGAATCCACAAGGTAAAGAGGACAAGTCCCTTGAGTCCACAAGGGGGTGATTCTGAATCCAAAGAATCAAGAACAAGTTATTTGAGTTCACAAAGGTGTTGGAGTCCACCAGCAGAAGGAGAGTCTTCATTTGGGTGCCAAGATTTGAATTTCAAATGAAATCTAAATTTGAAATTTGAATTTGAATTTAAAATTCAAAAAATATTAAAAATAGATATATGGACCTAATCTCTTAATTGAGTTAGTAAAGTGGGCTTTAAGCTACAATAGTAATGAGTTTTAAGCTTCAATATTGAGCTTCAGGCTTCTTCAATAGTGGGCTTCAAGGTTTGGGTTATATTAGTCTCCCCTTCTTAAAAAAAAATCATCTTGGAGTCTATAACTTGCTCTAGATAATACTCATAGATATCTATAACATTAAATATAGATGATATTCTCATTATCTTTAGTAAGTCAATGACATACGCATTGTCATTAATCTTTTGAAGGACTTTAAATGAAACATACTTTCGTGTACTGAGTTTGTGATAATTTCTTATTAGCAATCGTTCTTTTCTCAATTATATCATAACTAAATCATCAACATCAAAGATCTTCTCTCTTGTTTTTCAATCTGTCTTTTCCTTGTAGTTTGCATAATTGGTTGTAAGATGATTCTTTACATTCTCATGTATTTTTTGGATGTATTATGTCATGTTATTTGTTGCTATCTTAGTACCAGATTTTCTTAATACTTCAATTAAGTCAAGAGGGACTTTTGGTAGAAAATAGTAGACAATAGAAAATAGAGAGTAATTTGTTGATCGATTTACCATAGAATTGTATGCGAATTCTATGACAAGATCTCATTATCTTGGTTTGTCCCCTGAAATACAACAGATTAAATTATCAAGTGTCTTGTTACCCACTTTTATTTGACCATTAGTTTGTGAATGACTTGTAATATGAATTTTAAACATGAGTAAAATATGTTCCAAAGAGTATGCTAGAAATGGAACATAAATTTTGAGTCTCTATCCGATGTAATAGTCTTAGGCACTCCATGCAAATGAATTATTTTCTTGAAAAATAAATTTGCTACTTGAACGGCATCATTAGTCATTTTACAAAAAATAAAATGTGTCATCTTTAAGAATCTATCCACAACCACAACAAAATCTGCTCCTCTTTGGGTATGTGGTAATCCCAAAATAAAATCCATAGAAATGTCAGTCCATGCTTTATCTAGAATGGGTAGTGGAATGTATAAACTTGTGTTCCTACATAGAGTTTTGTCAAATATTCAAAACCACTAACTTCTCTCATTGTAATCAGAATTATTGATTTTTGACTCAATGCATCAACCACTTTGTTTGATTTTCTTGATTTGTGTTTTATCACAAAAGAAAACTTTTAAATAAATAAAATCCATCTAACATGCATTCTATTGATAGTGGTATGACTACTGACTGATTTCAAAACTTGATGGTCAATAATTTCCTGTTGAATCAAGTAATATTCTCAAGCATGTAATGATCTAACCACAACATAAATTTCTAATTCATATGTAGTCCACTTTCTTTTGGCTTCTGCTATTTTCTCACTATAAAAAGTAACTACACGACCTTCCTAGGATAATACAGCTCCAATTCTAGTAATTGAGGCATCACATTCTACTTCAAATAATTTATCAAAATTTGGTAGTGCTAGTACAAGGGTAGAACTTAACTTTAATTAGAATAAAACTTCTATCTGCTACATCTGTCCATTGAAAGTTTTCTCTTTTCATGCATTCAATGATGGAAGTCATAATTGAACTGAAATTTTGAATAAATCTTCTATAAAAAGATGCTAAGCCATGAAAACTATGAACATCATAGATATTTTTTAGAATTGACTAGTCATTAATAGCTTCAACCTTTTCTTCATCCACTTTGATGCCATCTGCACTTACAATATATCCTAGAAACTAAACTTGAAATAAGAAATTTACATTTTTTCAAGTTGATCAATAACTTGTTATAAAACAATCATTACAGATCTCAAATGATGATGATGTTATTCTTATGTGGTACTGTATATCAAAATATCGTCAAAATAGACAACAATAAATTTTCCAATGAAAAACTTTAATACCTAATTCATCATTCACATAGAGGTACTTGGAGCATTAAATAAGTCAAATGGCATAACCAACTATTCATATAACCCTACTTTTGTCTTAAAAGCGATCTTTCATTCATCACCTAGACAAATTCAAATTTGATGATACCCACTTTTAATATCAATTTTGGAGAGGATCCTAGAACCACCCAGCATGTCAAGCATATCATCAAGTTTTGGAATTAGAAATCTACATTTCATTATGATTTTATTAATTGCTCGACTAACTACACACATTCTTCAGGTTCTATCTTTTTTTAGAACTAATAATGTAGGTATTGAGTATGGGCTCATACTTTCATGAATTAATCCTTTCTCTAATAGCTCTTCAACTTGTTCTTGCAAAATCGTATTCTCTTCAAAGCTCATTTTGTAATGAGTAAATTTGGCAAACTTGCTCTAAGAATCAAGTCTATATGATGTTATGTGTCTTTGACTAGAGGAAGATTTATAGAAGAATCTTGTGTAATAAAAAACTCATTTAACAGATGTGTTGCCTCAAGTAACACCAAAATCATGCAATGAAACAGTCTTTTTTAACCAACATAAATACTCCAAAAAAAAAATAAAGTATTAAAAAGTTCTTTTTTGTTAGTCATCATAACTTCCTTCTTCTTTTCATTAACTATGTGATAAAAAATTCTTTTTTTTTTTGGGCGTAAAACAAACTTCTCACTATTTTGTAAAAAATATAATGATTATCTTTGCCTAGGTGAGTTGCATCTAAATCATATCACCATGATCTACCCAAAATTAGATGATAGACATCCATCTCAACAACATCATAGCAAATTTCATCAAAATAAACTTTTCTCATTGAGAACTTAAAAATTAAACAGGTCTCTATAACTTTGGTTTCATAATTCTTTTTTATCCACTCAATTCTATATGAATGTGAATGTTTTTTAGTTTTCAGCCCCAATTCTATACCATCAAAGAAGAAACAATATTTTCACTACTATCTGAATCAATAATCACATCATATACGTTCTCATCAATAGTGTATTTAGTTTTGAAAACATTATGACACTAGGGAGGTTCTTTCTTCTTTGGTGCATACATAAGCCTTTGAGTGACTAAAGAGTGACCAAAGTCTTCTTCTTCTTCACCTTCAATAAATTCTCTTGAATTTCTTTTTGATCTTCTACACCTTCAATTTTACCTTCATCTATGACCCTCGTAAAATTCACAGCACCACGTTTTAGACAAGCATTTGATTTGTGATCTTCTTCATTACATTTGTAATACTTTGGGAATAGAGTTAGGTACATATGGATTCCTTTGAGAAGAATTTCGCCCACTAAGAACAAATCCACTTGGTCTTGGTGCAGCTGAGGTTGTCGATCTTCCATTATTGGTTGCAGATGAAATATGTGCTGGTCTTGACCTATTTAGCTAAAATGTTAACACATTAGTAAAATTTTGAGTTCTAGATTTTCCTTTCTCTAATAAAACTTCAGCATGTTCTGATGCCATAACAACATCATTCAACTTGAAGAATGATTGTAAAGCAACCTTTTCTTCAATATCCCATCAAAGTCTACTTTTAAATCTACATATCATATAAGATTCAAATTCAGTCAAATCAACTCTTGAAGAAAGTCTGTAAAATTTCTCAATATATTCTATGACAGATTTACTTCCCTATTTACAACTTTGATATTGGTGATATAAAATCTGTTCATAATCAGAAAGAAGAAATCTACATTTTAATAATTTCTTCATCTTATCTCAACTTCAAACTTGATCTTTTTTTGATTTTGCACGGGTGGATTGTAACTGATCTCACCAAGCAAAAGCTCCACCTTTGAGTCTATAGGCAACTAATTTCACTTGTTTTTCATCATAAATCATCATATATTCAAAAAAAATCTCAATTTTAAAAATCCAATCAAGAAATTCTTCTATTTTCAAATGTTCATCAAAATTAGACAAATCAATTTTCATTTGAAAATCTCTACAATCATCATAATCAGATCTACCTTTTGAGCTTCTTGTATTATTCCATTGCAGAAAATCATTTTGTTTTTGACTAGTTTGATCACAAGATTGACATTCCATTGTACACATTTGTGCTAAGATTTACTTCAAAGTGTCATTCAAATCTTCAAATTTTTGTTCCACATGAATCTTGAAATTAGTAAACTCTGATTTTGAAATAGTACATACCTCATAACTTTCATTGTCATTGATGTGAATCTTTTTACCTCATGACATCTTGTAAATTTGAATCTAGAATGTTAACCTTGCTTTGATACCACTTGACACAACAAAACTTGAGGGAATGACTTGAACAAGTTGTGTTCAATTTTGATGTTGTGAGGGTTGAAGACACATCTTGAATCCTTGAAAAATGTGCTCTATGATTGTCCTTTCGCTCTAAATCCACAAGGAGAAGAGGACAAGCCCCTTGAGTTCACAAGGGGGTGATTTTGAATCCATAGAATCAAGAACAGGTTCCTTGAGTCCACAGGGGTGTCGGAGTCCACCAATAGAAGGAGAGAACTTCAAGAGAAGAAAACTCATGAAATTATATTGAAAAAAGGTAATCTACCTCTAGGGCTACAGGGGATGCCTTAAATAGGCTAAAGAGTCTTGATTTGGGTGCCAAGATTTAAATTTCAAATGAAATCTAAATTTGAAACCAAATTTTGACTGAAATTTGATTTTGAACAAAATTTGAATTTCAAATGAAAATTTGAATTTCGGATGAAATTTGAATTTCAAACGAAAATTTGAATTGCGGATGAAATTTGAATTTCAAACAAAAAATTGAATTTCGAATTTGAATTTAAAATTCAAATTTTAATTTCAAATGAAATTAAAAAAAATAAGAAAAATAGATATATGGCCTAAGTTTGTAATTGGGCTAGTAAAGTGGACTTCAAGCTACAACAGTAATGGGCTTCAAGCTTCAATACTGGGCTTCAGGCTTCTTCAGTACTGGGCTTCAGGGTTTGGGCTGCATCAGCACACCTTCCATACTTGCCTTACCCTAGCCCCGTCGGTACACATGCTGAAGTAAGAAAGGCCCGTGTTTTATGATATAAACCATCAGTTCCCTAAGGGAGTATCATGGGAATTGCGCCCCCCCGTGAGGTTGCCCAGTTCGCCTTGCGGCCTGTTCTTCCTGCAAAGAAGATCACTGGCACGAAAACAAGGCTGAGATTGGATCACTGCATTGCCGATGAGGAGGGTGATGAAGCTGCTCAGATTCGAATCACGTTTTATCGCACCGACAACCAATGTCTTGTTCGATCTTCGGCAGATGGCCGTTTTTAATGGCGTGAGCCTCATTCTCTTGCCGAAACTGGGAACAAACCTGTTCTCTTGGCGGGTGATTTAACTACAGTCTTCTCAGAGTTGCGACGAGTTGGGGATTCTCATCCAGCTTCGCCCATGACAGATCCTCAAAGCTTCGTGACCCACGCATGCATGCAGTCTTTGCGGATGCTGGTCGTAGGGGAAGCAGAAAGTGAGGGTTGGGGGCTAAGCTCGGGCTTCGAGACTTCAAGAAAATATACCCAAAGGAAGAGGAATTTCTTTCTTGAAAGGCGCTCATGAACTGAAAGCAAAGCCGATGAAAGAGAAAATGGGTGAAGCAAAAGGGCAGCCGGATGGCGCTGGTGCAGTATCCTGCACCATGGCAAGCTTCCATGGTCAAGTCGTCAACCTCCGATGCCTCTCAACGCCGGGTACTTGGAGCCAAACACTGCTGTCTGTACCCACTCCTTCTGAACGAAAAAGTTCAAACCCGAGCTCTGGCTATGCAACCATCGCCCGATTTCATCCACATTTCCTATTTGACCACCATGGTTAGGGTTAGAGCGCAGAGTTCCACCTGTGGCCAACAAACATCTCTGCTTGAAACCCGCATGAGAATCCATTACCGTGGTCGACAGCAGGTAACGAAGTTTCCGATCCTTCGTGGCGAAGAGTAGATGGAATATACACTGGATCCTTTGGAGCCTTTCAGACCGTCGGATAGAGGAAGAGAGAGAGAGAGATGGTGTCATGTGGGCCATGGTCCTTCCTAGTCGAAGTTCATGGAAGCCCGGCCCGGAATCAAGGATAGCAAATCTCTCCTTGTCCGGGCTGACGTTGAGGCCCAATCACCACAGTAAGAGGGCTGCGGTGCGCCAGGTTCGACGATCTCTATACCCCTTGATAGTTTTCTTCATAGACTATTACTGCCTCTAACTGACGACGGGGAATGAAAATAATCCTGGCTCGGTCACCCGATTGCGTGATTAGGCTGGATCTAGACTTCGATGATGTTCAGGGCAGACGTCTAATACATGATTCTCTCTCTCTCTCTCTCTCTCTCTCTCTCTCTCTCTCTCTGACCCCTCACCCCTCACTTCTGACAAAATGTAATCCTCTTAAGTCGGTATTAACCAATGTCGTTTTCCCTTGGGTTGAATTGGAAACAAGTCCTCGTGGAAGATCTGATAGAAGTTAGAATCTTGGTCGTCTAGGCTTTCATTCAAGGCACAATTCACTCCCTTCTTTTAATTAGATGGATATTCTAGTACACCACTAGTTATTTGAAAATCATGAATAACAGAGTTAATAAAATGATCACAAGGCAACCAAAGTCAAACAAATCATAAACATGAGTGACTTAATAAAACTAATGAGAAATCCACGAAACATCAAAGAGCACATCAATTATGAAGATAATTGTTAAGAAAGCACCTAATACCTTCTAGGGTTTGTTGGAGTCTATCACATAGTGTTATTAAATAAATAAAAACTTATGAAAATGTAGCACACATTTGTCATTATATCGCCCAAGTGGCAGCCAAATGCAGAAATTCTACATCCTAGGCGAGGGCTTGTTACCCTGGTCAGTGTAGGAATAGACACCCCTTCCCCTCTTCTTCCCTAGCCAGCCAGCGTCGACGTACTGTATGAGGAGAGGACAAGGGCTGTACCTGTCGCCACCCAGGCCACCATGGAGCGTCTTCATGGCCGACAAGCAGATGTCCAGGCCAATGAAGTCTGCCAGCTGGAGGGGCCCCATTGGCTGGTTGGTGCCGAGCTTCATCCCCATGTCGATGTCCTCTCGGGTTGCGATCCCCGTGTAGAGGGCGTAGAAGGCCTCGTTGATCATTGGCATGAGGATCCGATTCACTATGAACCCGGGGAAGTCCCGAGAGCACACGATGTTCTTCCCAAACCTGCAGAATTTGGTCCACATCGAGGAGGGGAGGTAGTGTTGCCCCAGTTTCAGAGTTTTGAGTGTCGAACATGAATAAACCTTCTTAAAGAAATAAAATATCATGCTCACTGATCTTGTCTTGTGCCAAGAAATGGCAGGAAACATATTTATCTGCTATTTACGTGAAAATCTTATGAAGTGTATATGTCACTAAATTCATTGAGTGCATGAAGATGATAGATATACTTCAAAAAAAAAGAGGACCATGCAATATATATATATATATATATATATTGCAGCAAAAGAATGTGCGCACTTGTCGTTCCAGACCATTCGATCAGCATCAGGATCAATTAGCGTCCACAAGATGATGTCTTCAGTCAGTCAACGTGCACAAGAGTTAAAATGGGACTTGATGATGCCATGCCATCCTGAGTAAAGTTCAGATAACTAGGGGGCAGAAAAAGAATGAGCAGAGTATGTAGCAGATCACATGATATTCATTAATGGAGTTGGTTGCCTCACTTTCAGATTTGAGTGCGAAGGGAAATAAATTATTATAGAAATTAAAATATAAGCAGGGGTGCTCTTTTCGTACACTCAGAAATGGCAATAAAAAACCTTATTTCGTGTATATGTTACTAATTTCATTGAGGGTGTGGTGAAACTATTTCGATCTTAAAAGGAAAACTGTCTTTGATCCAGAGCATCTGATCCGTTGACTTGAGGGATTCTGATACAGCATACCTTCGTTTAGTCCACTGACGAACTCAGGGGTGGTCAACCAAGGCTATAGGATGTTCAAATATGTCGACATATGCCCAGGTGAAACGAGGAGAAGTGGAGAGGATAACGAAAGTTGCCCAGGTGCAGAGAGGAACCCATGTGTATTACCTCTCTGCCAGTGCCTTGACAGTAGCGAAGACCTCGTCTGATGTCTGTGTGCCTCTGATGATCTCAACCAGCTTCATGATTGCAGGGGGGTTCATAAAATGCATGCCTATCACCTTTGCAATGCATGGAATTAAGGAATCAGATCAGAAAATTCCTTCAGAGTTTTGTAAGCTTTAGATGTGGATAGAAGAAGGAACTGACACACGAGGAAACCTACGGTCAAAACTCAACGACAAATATGGGGAAATTATGGCTTGCCATGAGCATGTGGAGAACAATGATATCTCTTCAACATATGGTGTGTTGGATTTCTCTGCAACGTGCAGATATAAGAATCCTTAAAACCCACTTCAAATCGATAAATATATGGATCAAGGAGGAATGTGTATTCAATCTCTTTGTTCACGGTATGATGAATTTTTAAAACTGATATATCAAAAATATCCTTCTGTGCTTCTAACTAGACCAGGTCTGCAATCAACCAGTGTATTTATATCAAAAACTGATATAACTAATTAATTGCATTTCTACTTTCACAGAAGAATCTAAGCTTTCTACCACATTTATAAGAAGTTCTGACACTGAAAAATATAAATTCATATGTGCCCTTAAAAGAATTAAAATCATAAAAATGACAAGCATGAAAGCTCTAGTGGAATTTTTTTAGGTGGATAAGATTTTTACGGGCAGTAGTTGCATCACTCCTAGAAAAAAAGGCTACTCTATGATGTACAAATGACTTTTGTTTTTGGAGAAAAATAGTATGATGACCTTGGACAAAAGCATTGCATATTTTTAAAATGAGAATTGTATCAATGATTGCTGGTGGTGGAAATAACATTTGGAATTATTGCAACAGAGATGATGAATGTTTTGATCTTAGCAGAATCGGATTTTTTTCCCAATGGAGTCCAGACTTAAAAGCCAATCATACAGTGAACTTCACTTTTACAGAATGCCAATCATGATGTAATCCACAGAAGGCAAACCTGAGATGGGCGTTGAGTTTGTGAAGCCAAGCGAGTAATGGAGATCGAACTAGTATTAGATGCCAAAATGCAAGAAGCTTTAGTGATCTTGTCTAGTTCTGAGAATAATTTGCGTTTTGCATCTTCAGACTCCACAATAGCTTCAATTACAACATCAGCAGATCGAAGATCATTCAGCTCCAAAGTGAATCTCAGACGGTTCAAAGCCTCTGAAATTCCTGACTGAAAAGAAAAAAAAAACAAAAGCAATGATTTACATCAGTGGCAAGTTTTTTTTCATCCAGATGAACAAATACTGATACCAAGTATACTCAACATCAGATTTCAACATGTGAGTGAATAAAAGAACTTGAATTTCACAAAGTGCAGGAAGCAACGAATGCATCTGATAGAAATCATTATATCTGGGAGAAGCCTGAAGTGAATACCCTTCGCAATATACATCTATGCATATACGCATACATATTCTTATACACATGCAAGCATAGATATGCATACATATGTGAATATATATGTATAATTATGTATCTCATCTCAGTTTATGAGTTTTACATAAACTTGAAATTGAACGCCAAGTCAGAACCACTATCATAAATGATGTCGTGCCTAAAAAGAGAATGGACTGCTAATGAGTGACGGATTTTTCGAATCATGAAACTACTGTTCATTCAGAATTTATGCAGCTCTGAAAATGAAATATCCAGTTAATTCGATAACCAAGTCTTTCACCAGTTTTAATCCTTTTGGCACGGAAACATACTATGCCAGAAGCAGCAAACTGGATATTCGTGGCCCCTTTAACAATTATTTTCTTTTTTGATTGTGGTCCTTTATCTGCCGGTGTATCTTTGCTTTAGACTGGGAATTCATATCAACCTCTTAGATTAATGACTTCATGACATCTCTCAAAGCTTCAAATTCAATCCATGGATAGGAGTCCATAGACATATAATCATTCCCCTCCTGGATGCATGCTTTTAGACTAAGTGGATTGTATAATTTCATTATTCAATATCTCTTGGTTGCAAAAGTCCAACATCATACACCTGGGTGATTCATCACCTTATTGCTTATTATAAATTTCAAGCTTATCAATCAAAGAAAAAGTAAGAAGCTAGATTGGGACACATTCATGCATCTTTACAGCAGCAGATTATCACCCTCACTCTCTCGTGCATCCTTTCTTTTTCTCACAATTTATGTCATCTGTCCTTATAGATAATATCCTCTCTTATTCTATCTTTTCACAAGGATCTGTTCTTCTGGTTAAAGATTCGACCTCTTAGCTTTACGTGAATCCGTCCTTTGTCCCTTTCATTATCTCTTTTTATGCTTTCGTATGCGAAATTTTTCTCCTAATGTTAAAGTCGTTTCTTATCATTTAGTCTAAGGGTAAGGTTATAGACTTCTGTTATACGGGATTAAAGCCATCTCTCTCTGCTTGCAGTTACAATACCTTCAACTCCCAACTACACCCCGAAAATAGGAAAAATTTAAACACGGATAGAATCAGGATCGATCAAGCATCCAATTCCAATCCAATTACTATAACATAAAAAAACTGATTCATTCCACCACGGATGGCATCCTTGTTACAAAACAATTATCAAACGCTGAGTTCTATCAAAAAATGATCGACTCACGGAAGAAAATGGAAAAACGGAGAAGCGAGAATATGGAAGGACTGACCTGGGGAATTTGCCCCTTGGACGCCAGCCGGCGGATGGAATCGGAGATGGCGTCGCCAGCTCGATCAAGAGCGGCCCGATCGGTGTCCTGCAGCCACACGTCGATCCCCGCGACCGCAGCCAGCTGCGCGATCCCTGACCCCATCTGCCCCGCTCCAATCACTCCGACGACCTGCACCTTCGCCGCCGCCTCTCCCGCCATCGTCCCCGCCTGAGCGAAGAATACCAAACTAACAGACTAGCAAATAGCACACGGGTGACGGTAGCCGCCTTTTCCTCAAAAACAAACTACATATATACCAATAAATTGAAAATATTATAATTTCGACCCACTCACACTGAAATCCTCTAATTTTAATACGAAAAATTAAATTTATTATTAAGAAGGAAAATATCGAAGATTACACGGAAATCCTGACCATCGCATCTCAGCAGTGCTGAATTATGCTTTCCTAGGATAAAATCTTATTTAACCCATAGCCCTTCCTAATATGTCAAAATCGCTTTAATAACTCTACTTTTTTCTGGATAATCAGGTCGGTTATTTATTTGATTTTTTTAATATTCCTTTTCATGTGAATTCTTAGTCGTATAGTCATCTGTCTCAAGAATCCCTAAGTTTTATATTTTGGATCCAAAAATGTTGCAAAATGAAGAAACTCTGAGGGGTAACCTGGCATCTGCCCTTGAACCTCTTGGATCTTAGGTTGACGCCCCATTGTGCTATTATATCAGGTCTACCGCCCAAGTCTAGTACCTCCCTAGAAACTAAAGTTTAGATACAAAATTGATGGAATAATGATTGTGTTGATATCTAAGATGGTCAACCCCCCAAGATCATTACCCCTAAAAAAGGTCTAGAGTCTAGATCAATTACTTGTGTGTAGACTGAGATCTTCATATATTGACGAAATAATGATGACACAAAATAATTGATATTAGATTCATGCCCCATCCTGTCAATATCTTAAATGTTCATTATTACCTCTAAAAGGACCAACGACTAGATCAATTATTTGTGTGGAGATTGAGATCTTCATATTCTAATGAAATGATGATGGCAAAGTATGAGCAAATTTTTTGAGTAATTCCAGTCAAATTGACACAAAATAGTTGATCTTAGATTGATGCCCCCTCGTGTCAATATCTAAGATGGTCAACCCTCCCAAGGTCAAATTACTCCTAAAAAAAGAACGTAGTCTAGGTCAATTACTTGTGTGGAGACTAAGAGCCTCATATATTGATGAAATAATGATGGTAGTGAACCCCATCATACCTTTGAGCATAAAGTATAAGGGAAATTCTCAAGTAATTACAATCAAATGTACACAAAATAATTGATCTTAAATTGATGCTCCATCATGTTGAGATCTAAGATGGTCAACTCACCCCCCCAAGGTCAAATTACCCCTAAAAAGACTAGAGTCTAGATCAATTACTTGTGTGGAGATTGAGAGCTTCATATATATTATGAAATAATGATGGTAGCAAACCCCACCATGCATTTTGAGCACAAAGTCTGAGGGAAATTTTCAAGTAATTACAATCAAATGGACACAAAATAATTGATCTTAGATTGATGCCCCATCACGTCGATATCTAAGATGGTCAACCCCCCTAGAGTCATTACCCCTGAAAAAAAGACCAAAGTCTGGATCAATTATTTGTTTATAAATTGAGAGCATCATTTATTGATGAAATAATGATGGTAATGAACCCAGCAAACATTTTGAGCACAAAGTCTGACAGAAATTTTTGAGTAATTACAATCAAATGGACACAAAATATCAACCTTGAGACCAAGTAGGGTAGATCAAGGAACCCTAACCTTTCAATGTCAACCCCCTTAGAGATAGGAGCCTAGTTTTTGGATTTCAGCAGGTGAAGAATCTTAGGTAGGTAGGATCTTCCTCCATTCCTCCATCATGTGGAGTGTATTGTTACTATGTAGACCTCAAAAGGCTTTTTAGTAGTTTTTTTTATAAGTTCCCATATTTTCTAGATACATCCTACAAAAAAAAAAAGAGCTATAAATTGAAATTATTGTGCTCAATTTCCTCAAGGGCGGATTTTATGAATCCGACCATATTTAGCCTTAGGAACTAATAGTATACCTTAGAAAAGGATAAAATACTCTTCAATGATTTATTGCCTCTCTCTCTCTCTCTCTCTCTCTCTCTCTCTACAAATTATGAGTCCATCAAATCTCATATAATTTATTCATGGGGAATACAGCTATTGAAAATATTATTCTCTTAGAACAAGAATCACTTATACTTCACCTAGGATAGAACAAATCAATCAATCAATCTTGAACGGTGGTTCCAAAATGCTAATCTCACAACTCCCAAGTCCTTCCATGACCCACCCTAATGGATGGATGAACCTTATGAAAGGAGCTCCTCTTGAAGCCCAACCTCCTATAGGAACAAAGAGAGCAAGAACAACCAACCCTTCAAGACTCTATTGATGAGTGTGAGCCAAGTGGCAAGAGGAGATGCAAAATAGTGGGTAGATTTAAAATAATTTCTGAAGAACTATTTTTCACATTATCTTAGTCTTTAGAAGGACTGAAGATAGAAGAGGGTTGGGCCTTGGGCACTTCCACTAGAAGCTTTGGAAGAGAGTGTGGAGGCTCATTGTGCCATCAGAGCATCTAGATCTTGATCAAAACCACAATCAGCTTGGATCGATTGATTACGGCCCATTGAAGCCCATTAGATCCACTAAGATTATTGGGCGACCGAACCAAACATTCATGAAGCGCTTGAAATACCTCTCATAAAATAATTTATTTTCTTCCCATGAGTCTATAGATTCTATATCATAAATTATTTCATTTAAGCAAGATCGGGATTTAGTTGAGCCTGGGCCTGCGGGGCAGACGGCCGGGGCTGGGCTTTCATGGGTCCGGCCTGAAGTCTCAAACGTACCAACTTTCTTCGGGCCGGGCTCGTTTCGGGCCCGGGCTCGACCCACGGCCCAATTTGTTGCCACCCAGCCCATCATCCGGTGGGGGGAGGGGAGTCCTGCTGCCTCCACAAAGAGGATTGATTAGATAGAGGTGGATAAAGTTGGGGGCGCCTCCCTCTGAGAAGGAGCTGCAGCTGCTCTCGTTTACCCCGCAAAGCTGCGGCCTTTCTGATCCCCTGTGGGCAGCATCGCCATGGCCGCTGCGACTGCTCTCTCCTCCTTCTCCTCTCTCTCCCTCCGCCCCTCCTCTCTCTCCTCCTCCTCCTCCTCCACATCGTCCCCTTTCCCGGGTTTCGCATTCTCCAGGGGCACCCGCTGCCCCTCTTTCCTGCTCTCCGGCCGGCGCGTGCACCCGCCGGCGGCAGCGGCCGCCGCCGGCGATTCGAAGGACATCGACACCACCTTCTTCGACGAGGTGAATCCCAACGAGGAGGTCCCCTTCGAGCCGCCGGCCCCGCCGGAGGGCTACGTGCCGCCGGTGCCCTTCTACGAGCTTCCCCCGGAGTCCGAGGACGAGGTCGCCGCCGCCTACGAGGAGATCTACGGCGCTGCCTACAGCGGGGTCACCGTCCTTGGGAATGACGTCTACGTCATGGACTCCAAGCTCAAGAAGTCGAGCGGATTCGGCAGCCAGCGGAAGAAGGAGAAGGCGAAGGACGGGTTCGACGAGCGGGTGGTGCAGGTGAGGCGAGTCACCAAAGTCGTCAAGGGCGGCAAACAGCTCCAATTCCGCGCCATTGTCGTCGTCGGTAACAAGCAGGGCCAAGTAGGGGTCGGCGTGGGCAAGGCCAAGGAAGTCGTCGCCGCCGTCGAGAAGTCGGCTGTCAATGCGCGGAGGAACATCATCACTGTCCCTCTGACTAAGTACTCCACCTTCCCCCACAGGTCAGTGCAATGCACTCGGAATCCAGTGAGCTAGATCCATGAATCCATGCCCCTTCCCCGAAGCCGAGAAGTTCCTCGTCGTCGGGTTTGCTTCTATTTTATGTGGTTGATCTACGATGAATGCCGTTTTTCTTTGTGACCATATCTAAGAAGAACCTCTTCCTCCTCCTCCTCCTCCTCCTCCTCCTCCTCATGGTGGAGGGGGAGGCTTCTATCATCTTACAACTGGTGCTAGCTATTGGGAATTCCATATGTTGTGCGAGTAAGCTTTCTCTTGCTTCATGCTTTATATTCCGGGGGATTCTCTTGGGATACTTTTCAATGCGCAGGCAGACCCTATAATTTTTCATGTTGTTGACAATTCTTCCGTAAAACACTTTCGTTCTGCTTCGCCTGAATAATTTCGCTTGTTCCTTCCGAAAATCACTCGCTTCTTATGTTGTCTTCTTGCTGAATCATACGCTTCTTGGAATTCTTCCTTCACCATGCAAATCTTTAAAGACCATTTAAATTTTGTTTAAAAAAAATATTGACCTTCGCATTTTATATTCAAACAATGTTTACCAGACCTTTTAGATCATAGAAACCGTTTTGGTTATGTAAAGATCTGCAACCTGTTCTTGTAGTCCTTATCCGAAACTATATTTTATTTTTAGTTGTTATAATAACCAATAAAAAGTGTTTGGCTTCTTGGGCTCAACCTAACATTTATAGCGGATGTAGAGAGACTATTTCTACAGTCTGGCATTCATATCTCGTTGATGACTATTGATTGCATATAATCTGTCCCAATATGATTAATTCAGCTTTCTTCCGGAAAAAAAAAATGCTTTTGAACTGTTTGGCTTCAGTTTCCCCTCTCCCTCTTCCTGGAGAAAGTCACTGTGAAACTTTTGGATTTCAGCACTTTTTTTTTCCTAATTCATTCCTTTTAATATCTTTTAGGTCTTTATAGCTTAACATTCCCTTTCCCTACACTTTGAAGTGGACCCAACAAATGGGTGAGCTGGGCCTTGAAAACTATCATGATTTAACCTGCGATTCATGAGCATGTTGGAAGGGGCGGCGGTAGACCAGAGTGGATGCAACCTGAGATCACGAGCCTTTTATTCATTAAGATTGGTTAAGTAATCTTAGAAAACCGTTGCCTATAGAGGGTTACCCATGGGCTCGTGGGATTTTCTCTCTCTTCCTATTTTTGATGGAGGGCGTGCTCAGCTTCCAGAGGTAGAAACTTTTGATTGTTTCAGAGACCTTTTCACCTCATATTCGTCTGAATCTACTCTTCTACTCTCAGGGGCTCTGCTTTCCTTGACCATGATTAATACTTCATCTCTCTGTGATAATATTTTTATGAGCTATCAAGGATGATGATGTAATATAAATATACATCTAATTTTTCAAAGGAAGTCTTAAATCTATTTGTCCCTCATCATATACATAGAACATTGAGCATTCAACGTGCCTAAATGATTTTACAGACAGGGATTGGCTAGTGACTGATGTGGTAGAGGCCCTATCTAATCTACTCTCTATCCATAAGCTTGGTACAAGTGAGTCTCATATCCTGAACTATGGAGAGTTTTAGAAAAAGTGTCATATCTTCATCATCGGCTTAGTCCATACTCACATTGGAAATATTTAGATGAATGCATCTTGTTAGTGTAATGGTCTCACGACAGTTGACTCATAGTTGGTGTGAGAATTGATTGATGGTGAGTTTTGATTAATCAGGACGAGCTCTGTCCTCTCTATCGACTTGCAGGTGAATGCACATGGTGTCAAGAACCAATTTGGAAAGCCAAAATGAAACAGTTGCATCTTATACTGTAATAATATTTTATTTTATTTTATTTTATTTTATATTTTTTCTGTGTGTGTTGTTGGACTCCCCTTTTCCTTTTACTCCTGCTAATTATGACTGCCCTCGTTGCCAAACTTGCTAAAGTTTTTCGGCTACTGTGAGGATTAGCAGAGTAAAAAAGGCTTGTGTGTGTTGGATGCTGTGTGGTGGCAGGTCGGATGGAGACTATGGGGCGGCGAAGGTCATGCTGAGGCCGGCCTCACCAGGTACAGGAGTCATTGCTGGCGGGGCCGTGCGGATCGTGCTTGAGATGGCGGGGGTCGAGAACGCCCTGGGGAAGCAACTGGGGAGCAACAACGCGCTGAACAATGCCAGAGCCACGGTCACGGCGATCCAAAAGATGAGGCAGTTTCGGGAGGTGGCTCAAGAACGCGGGATCCCCATGGAGGAGCTCTGGAAGTGATTCCTCTCTCCTTTGTGGGTCCCTTTTTTTAAAAAAAAAATTCTTATTTTATGTTGAGAACATTTTTTTCTTTTGCTTTTCTTTCGAAGAATGTTCTTCTTCTGAATAGTGGTTCAGTTTTATTGGAGCTACGCTGGGATTCTGATGTTGAAAGTTCTGGGTTCCCTGTCTTCGCTTGACTAGATTGCAGATGAGTGAATGACGATTCAGGGTGATTGAAGTGGGGGCCCCTTTGTTTTTAATTTTCTGTATGATGTTAATAGCACTTTTTTTTTTAATCCTTTGCTCTGAAGAATGATCTTTTCGAATCGGTTTCTACGGCACAGCAGGGGTTGACTTTTGAACAATGTTCTTTTGAGGGGCTTTCTAAGGTACCATGGTGGTTGACTTTTTGCAGGACAGAGCTCTCGGATTGTGTAGGAAGTGCCCCCCCCCCCCCCCTTTTTTAACGATTATTTGATGGGGGGGATATGGATTCTCTCTGATCTCTGGATGCTGCAACTTACGAAGATCGATCCTTTTGAACCAGCTTCTGTGGCACCACTATGGGTTGACTGCTGGCTGATCCAGGCCTCACCAGTTTATGCCTCCCAGAGCATATCGCAAAATTTTCATTCTTCTTTCTACATTTCTTTCAAGCCCGAGTTTTTCCACGTTAGGGGCGTCAATGGGCCTGGATTCATCTGTGGCTCACCGAGCCCGATCTACTCGAGACCCGGCCCATAAATATCCATCGTTGACCTTCATCTGAAGATGACCCGAATTTGAAGGGCTTGTCGCATGGTGTGTTCGATGAAATGCCGCCCATACGACGCTCCCTATTCGCCATCCGACCTCATCCCTTCCTATGGCCTTCCTGTGGTTGCTACTTCATCATCCCTTCCTGTACTTGGCATGAGGGCTGGCGCTCCTCCCTCTCTACGTTCCAACTCCAACTGGGTGGGTACTGAGAGTTCACCTCGCCGGCATCATAGCCTTAACAACAACTCACCTCTCTCATGTGCAAGGCTCCACTAGATGAGAGGTTATAACATTCAGACGGCGGCGGTTGGGCCTCTCTGAAATTCCACGTCTCGCAAGTAGGCATTGAATCTTCAGCTCGCCAACATTTGAGCTTTAACCACTTCTTTCCTCTCCCATGCAATCAGTCATGCACACTCATGCGATGTTGCGCCTGCTGTTGGATGTATCTTCCGGCCAATGCCTGGGGAACAGGTTCTCTAACTGGATCTCTTCAACGCTTTCACCTAGTGCTTCTTTCTATTTCGGGTTCCATTTAAATAGGGCAGTTGGGGGAATAGAAGGGCTGATTTGGCCACATGGTAAGAATAGTCACACGCTTGAAACAGTTTGTAGGCTCTTATGGTGGTGAAGTACATTAGGCTACCCCTTCGTTGTCAATCAATTCGGAGGTGAACGGCCAATAATGGCAACAAGGCATTGCAGACAAGGGTCATGAACTCAGGAGCATTCCTTACATTCCTTTTCTATCGTTTATTTCCATTGACACGTGAGAAGAATGCGTAAATATAAATATACACGTTTATTTATCTAGCAGGAGAGAGAGAGAGAGAGGGAAGATCAGGGGAGTTACTGTTGAAGAATTCGGCTAATAAACCAAATTGAATAAATGCTCGTATCCGATGCAGATAGTGTTCATTCACGCCCTTTGTAGTCTAGAATGGATTAAAAAACCCATTTTGAAGGTTTCATTCAACCACAGTATATAGCGCACATTAAAGCAAAATTTTCTCTTACTTTTAGTTTTATTTCTCAATTATTTGAATCTTTGAACTCTCATTGCGCTGATTTAATACAAAAGTAAACTGCTCGATTCCACTCATTGATGTCTAGATTGCGTTGAATAATGCAATGGGTTTATAATCGTTGACACTCATTTTCGCTATATTTTTTTAGATATTTTTTCCTGAATATTACATCTAAATATAATAAAAACAAAAATAAAACGTTAATTATCAAAAAAATTATCATGGGTCTCTTTATCCACAAACCAATCATTCACGATTGGCCTATAGACTACAATATTTACATAGCTTTCGTGGGTCCTTCAGTGTGACATCAAATCCCTGTCTATCTACGTCATCTTATTTTTTTCGTTAAGCTACTGCATAAATTCTAGGTTCCCAAAAAATTAGGAAATCTTCAAAAAACAGTTTCAAAAAATTGCATAGATTCCAGATTTATTATAGGTTTAAGGGGAATATAAACAGTGTCAACATATGAGTTAAAGTCGGAGAGAAAAAATTCCGAAGACATTGATCAGGGAATTGTTTGCAAAGTTAAAATTTCTTAAAAATAATGAAATCTCCAAGATTAATTCACATGACGTTAGACAACGTGTTTACTCTCTCCCCACCTTGAGGAGAACGTCGACCAGATAAGGAAGCTGATCATTTCCTACGATGAGAGAAGGCAGCGAAATTGTCTGTCATTTCATAACACACCCAGATTTAGTGTTAAATAATTTTAGACAAAATCTGTTAAGTACTAAAAAAACCTTGTGTTTAAAATAAATTTAGTTGGTAATGACCTAAAAGAATAACTCCGAAGCACATGTGATCTAATCACATAAAACTTGCGATATCCGGGTGCTTGAGAGTCGAAACTAAATTACAGGTTCAACAAAATTGACATTCTGAGAACCAGGTAAGCTTGATGGGAATCTGTTGCTCACGGTTTGTTGGATCCAATCCTAGGGGTTGCAAAATCGCATTCTAATGAAGAAAATAATTAGCCTGTTGAAGAATGTGACATAATATAATAAGCTCACACTATTTTAGAGTATACTTAATTTGTAATACTGTCATGTTTAAGGGCTTGATTTTAAATTCAGCAAGCATGTCTATTGAGAAGCATTTTCAGAGTCTTCTAATTATAAACCTTAAATTACTGTTAAACTACTCCAATCTATTCTTATTGCGGTCTAGTCTAATATCGAATGTCAGGGTTGAACACACGCGTGGCACGTCATGGAAACTCAAGAATCAAGTCAGCGGATAACCACGCAAATAGCAGGAATCCGGAGAGGGACGAACCATGGTTGATAGCTACTGTGCTCCCTCCCTGGCCATCCTGGTGATAAGCCTCCAACCTCCTCCTCCTCCTCCTCCTTTCCTCTTCCTCCTCTGTCTCCTCGGTTGCCTTCTCTTTCCCATTCTCCGGCGCTCCCTACCCCGTATCTCCACGACCAGCAGTTGACGGAGTTGCGGGCGTAAAGAAGAGACCGGGCATCGCAAGCGGTGGGCTCTAATGGCCCCGGCTTGCTTAGAGATGCCGCATCTCGACACATTTGATTTAGTTCCTCTATATAATACTGCCAACCCTCCGCTGTTGATATGTTTGGTGGAGACTGAGGGCTTCTCACCCATGAATGAGTGAGCAAGGCGGTGGGAATCTATAGGGTGATGGTTGGGTCGAGAGGCGTAGATCTATGTTGGATCCCACGTGGGTAGGCAATTGGTTAGTTTGGAATTGGCTGTTTATGCCTTGTTCTCCGCCCAACACTATTCATAATTCCATCCCATGCGTCCATCTACCCTCCTCCAGAAACAGTCTTGAGGCTTCCGTCAAGGGTTTCAGGACATGATAATGTCATATTCCCATAATAACTATCATAGTATGCCAAAAGTATCACTTTCTTCATATAACTGAACTATGGAAGCATGGTGGGCCGTTCAATTGTCCAATTTGCTTAGGAAGTCATCACCATTGAGCATGTTTAGAGGGGTTTAGAAGTAAATTAGTAATACCTTGGGCTTTAGTTTTCACTCTTTATACCTATCATAGATCACATATTAGTCCCTCACTTTATCCACTAAATTATGTCTTACTAGATGAAGAAGAGTACATATTGTTCTGAATATTCTTTATGCATGCATTTAATATAGTTAATTATACTATCAAATGAAAATATTACCACGCAAATATCAAAATCTGTTTGTCTCTACTCCTCATCAGCCAAGATTTTGCAAACTAACTCCACAAAATTGAGGGTAGCAAGTCACCTAATAGTATTTCACTCTCCAATTTATTTATTTACCAATTTTATAGATCTCTATCATTTTATAGAACTATTTTTAATGGATTACCCTACACTTCAAAAAAGGTTTTTTCTAATAATAGAGCAACTATTAATAAATATTTAATTATGAAATTAATTCCATCAATGTAATGTCATTTTTATTTTTGATCTAGTTCCACTTTCTCATAAGAAGTTGATGGTTTGACAAAAAAACTCAAGCATTTATTGACAGGTTATTAGTGCAGATGCAATTTTATTCTTGTTACAATAATTATGATACTTTTTGTTGACTTTTATTTTTGGATTTAGGTTGTCAAGAAAAATGTTCTGAGTAAAATAGACTTGGATATTCTCAAGTGTAATCACTAAGATTGTAACATTAAGTGAAAGGTTTTTTGAAGAAAAATATGAACAATAGTGGTAAGTCATGTTAGATCAACATCCTTTAATTATGCTATTTGGACATAAATTGGAGTTAAAATTATTGATAGTTTCTATTATCTTTGTGGTGAGATGATGGGGTTTTTTATGGGAATATGAGGTTTTATCTATTCACTTTTTGATTTTTGGGAAGTAAAATTTTGAAAATTTTCATGTGTTTAATAATATTTATTTGATTTTATGGTCATAATACTATATTATAAATTTCACGTGAAAATATATTTCTTTGGAAATTGTGACACTACATGTATGCATGTATGTCTGAATTCAAAGAATAAAATCATGAGTCCTCCAGCTAAATATAGCTGTAACAATTTTACAAGAAATGCCTTTCAAATCTTGTTTTAAAAGATTCATGGCCTAGTCAAGGTGAATTTCACTTGGTCCTATTCAATGTAGTAGTAGTGCTGCCTGCTATTAGGTCTCATATGATCATTCTACTAGTGCTACCTGCATAGATATATATGCTTGCATAAATATTAGTGGGAATATTTTTTAGCATAGGCCAAATTGAATGCGTTAACAAAACCAGTGAAATCGTTGACATTTTCTGGCTTGAAACAGAATTGAAGCTCATCAACTTTGGAATCAAATGATATAGCAGATAGACTTACGATCATCTTGTGAAAGTATGAATTCAAAGTGTGTTGAAAGGTTTTAATCAACTTCTTTAAAATACCATCAACAATCGAAAGGCACCCTCAAATCACTTTGATGAAATACAAAACTCAATATTTTCTGATTAATTAATAATGATTCGGAGGTCTCATTTATTTGCCATAAACGAATAAGCATGTGCCCCCTTAGCATCTTCCTCCGATAACGCTGCAAAGCTCCGTCATTATCACATCGTCAGGCACGCCAGTGGATTTAGTGTTGTTCACTGACAGGGGCGCGCTCACATAGGCATGCACACTAGGCTTGCATGCGGGCCTTGGTCTCTCTCTCTCCCCCCCCCCCTCCCCCCTTCCGCCCCTCTAGATCTGTCGTCTCACAGTCAAGGACGGAGAGATAAAGTGCAAGGACAAGCACAGAGGCATCCCACCGGCAATGGCCTCATCATTCCCCACCTACCGCTTGAGGCATCCCAAGAAACCCCACGCCACCCGCAGGCCGTCACAAAAGATCTAATCAGCATCGCGCCTTTCTTTCTCACTTACTTTCACAACTGCACCAATTTTCATGTGATCGTATAAACCCTTTCTCTAGTTATAGAAAGATTATCAAATTAACCAAATTCAATTGATGTGTGAGTTTCTTCTGTCACGTAGTGCAGTCTGCTCGACGAGGTTGTTTCCCGAACCATACTTCTCTCTCTCTCTCTTTCTCTCTCTCTCTCGCGCTCTCTACTCCTGCCCCATCCCCCCTCTATCACGTCGTAAAGGAGGAAGGAAGACGGGAAGATGGGGACGCGGAGAGGACAAGGTAACAGAAAAGCAGACAGTACAGGGAAGAGAGGGCCCGCCAGAGATGATCCCAGTGCAGAGAAGGTGGGATATCACGCCCGCTGCAAGCGGTGGCCCCCACTGTAGCCCCTGCATGCTCTTCCTGACTCCATCTGGTCCCCCTTCCCTTCGTTTCTCGCAACCACCACCTCCACCGCCTATCCTCACCAGTGATGCCGGCTGAGCACGGATTGGCCGACCTCTGGATCTCCCTGTCCGACGTATTCCATAAACTTATGCTGGAATATGGATCTTCTATGCCTTATTTGCTTCAAAATCATTAGACAATGGAAGTATATTTAGCTCGAAATTTAACCTTTCAAATCAACACGGTGAGCGAGGCGGTGAGACTCAACCAGAAGTAGGAGAAATGATTAAAGAATGTTCCAGTCATTAAATAATGAACTTCCTGGCTTGGGGCAGGTGCCAGTCAGAGGCATCAACGCTGGAATAATCTGAAAGAGACCATCAGGGGAGACAGTCTCGAGCTAGAATATGGAGCTCTGCCTCTAGCACGTTGCATTAAGTAAGAAAAATAATTCAATGAAAATTTCCTCCAGAGTGGGCCTACGTTGACAGGTGACTTTGAAGATTCATCCACTCGATGCCTGTGTGTGTCTGTGTGTGACATAGAGAGAGAGAGAGAGGAAAGAAGAAAAGGAATGTTCTCATGAATAAACTACGCATCCAATTTGCGCCTGGCTGACGAGAAGAGTGCTCTTCCTCGGAATAACCAGAAGGTATCGGAATTCGAATTATGGGTTCAATTTTTTAATCGATCAAGACTGTTTCCATCCAACTCTGCCGGACAGATGAGAGAGAGAGATCAGGGACGGACGGAGGAACGGTGGTACGGCTTGACTGTAAGTTTCCCCCGCCTCGGTCGGGCTCTTGGTGTGGCGTGAAGGAGCTGGTGGCCTCTCGAGACCTTCACGTGCAGGACGGATGGGGCGGGGTCTAAATGAAATGAAAGGAGGCTGTGTGGGCGCCATGTGGGGGACGCTTTTCCCTGCCTTGGGAAGTGCGGGGGTGGGGAGGAGTGGGAGAAGTATAATTGGGAGAAGATCCCTCGGGGAACCGCAAAATCTATTGGCTCCTCAGACATGGTGGCCTTCTTTATTTCCGTGCCCTTTTTGACCGACTGGTACCGCATCCATTTCCCCGTCCTGTCAGAGAGACCGAGAAGACCCGGGGGCTGAAACAGAGAGAGAGAGAGAGAGAGGTAGAGAGGGATTCCAAATATTCTTTATTTTCGACTTTTTAGTGAGTAGTAGTAAAAGTAAAATTAGGAAACGGGTTCGGGAGCTGAGATATATATATATATTTAGAGAGAGAGAGAGAGAGAGAGAGAGAGAGAGAGAGAGAGAGGGACAGAGCAAGTACTAAACAGACAAACTATAGTCTTTTCATACAGGACCTTATTAGAGCATAAACACAGAGACAATGGGTCGTCATGCAGATTTTTCTAGCTTGATTTTCAAGCGTAGTTCAGAAAAACATTGGATGTATTCGCCTAATGCCACCCAGTCTTGGTTTTTATGGTATAAAATAGTGTTATTTAGGAAATTAAGAATATATTTTTTCAACTGAATTATGCAACTTCCATGTTACCTATTTTTTTTTCAACAAATTTAATTTACATACGTTTCTAGGAAATTAAAGTTACGTTCTATGTAAGAGCTCTTAGTTTAGGTGTCAGATTTTGATATCACGAATTTTCAAGCCATCTCCAACTTATGTACATGAAAAGGAGTTAGAAACATTGGTATTTCCATTGCCTCTACCCAATTTGGCGTAGCATTTTATGTTCTAAATTTCTACGAGTCTCTAGTTGGAGGGCAGTGTAGGAACAAAGCATAATCAACGATGGATTTTAATTCTTCTAATTATAATTTTGAAGGAACATAACATATCAATATTTTATTAATTTTCGTAGTACCAGATGATTTGATTTCATTATTATTGGGGGGGGGGGACATTGTTCCTGAACGACGGTAAGAACAAATAAGTATAAATTAAAGTGAAAAATAGTTGAGCCAGCTAAAACATGCCAAGTGTCTTTCTTGGATTCAATCCGACTGGGAACATACCCACTAACTCGGCTTCCAAACGGCTTCCTCCCGTATCTTTCATTTAAGCCCTCTCTCTCTCTCTCTCTCCCTCTTGACCACCTCTTTCTCAGAGGGGGAGGGACAGGATGAGACAGACCAGATAAGCCCACATGGTGGGTCTGTGCAGTCACTTTCGGGTGAGAATTTCATATCTTCTTTTGAGGAACGAAAGATAGAAGACGGAAGGGGGGGGGGGGGGGCGGTGGCAGCGCCTCTAGAGGATTCTTAATACAACGAGGAACCTGCCGGAAACACGAGGAGACAGGCCTTGTCTCCTGCTACCTCTTCTCTCTCTCTCTCTCTCTCTCTCTCTCTCTCTCTCTCTCTCCGCCCTGCCCCATTCCTGTGAGAATCTTCCTTCTCCCTCCTCCACATTCCCATCGGCTCACTTAAATGAACTCCTCCAGCCTACACAAGCCCCCTCGTCTTCTTCCCCCCAACTCTGCGATCTGTACCAGAACCAGGACGTTCTCTATCACGTCGACTTGATTCTCCTCTCTCTCTCTCTCTCTCTCTCTCTACCTGCTACGTGTCGTTTTGGTGCGTCCCTATCAGGGCGGAAGGGGGTTATTCCTGTGGTGAGAAGACGAGAGCCGGTGGAGAAGATGGATGCGGTGCCGAACGAGTGGATGCAACAGGTTGGCCTAACTCTAAATTACGAAATTCGGGCCACACCCACTAGCTAATCTCCCTGTTTCTCCCTCTGTGCTTGGATGAATCAGATAGAGTTTTAACAGGAGTAATTTCTTTATTTCCTCTCCTTAAATTCAAAAGCAGATATTTTATTTAAATTACCGGAAACATTTAACAGTAACAGGTGCTAACTTTCGTCTAATTTCCGTCATTGTTAATATTTTCTAAATTTATATAATTCGTGTGATTTTTTCACTCTATTTAGGAAAAAGAAAATAATTCTCATTCCTTAATAATAAACGTCTTACACCATCTCTCTCTCTCTCTCCGCGCCTCTCCCTCTCACCCTCTCTCTCAGAGTATCTGTTTTCCTGTCATGAAGGAGAATCCTACAGTTGGACTCGCAGGTTGAAGATGGAATGTTCTCCAGTCATATACACTCCGGCGGAATTCTAAGAGCTGCAATCCCATCTACGACGGACAACACAGCTTCCGCAGGCGGAGCCGCCGGCGTCGAGAGGCCGCCGATGGAGAAAACCGGTGGTCCAGCGCCTGACGGACAGTCCCTGAGGTGCCCCCGTTGCGACTCTTCCAACACCAAGTTTTGCTACTACAACAACTACAGTCTCTCGCAGCCCCGCCACTTCTGCAAGGCCTGCAAGCGCTACTGGACCCGCGGCGGCACCCTCCGCAACGTCCCAGTCGGCGGGGGTTGCCGTAAAAACAAGCGCGTCAGGAAATCCAGCGCCGCCCCCACGGCGGCGCCGCCCTCTCAGACCGATCTCTCGCCCTCGGCCCCTCCTCTCTCCTTCCTCCCAAGCTCCTCTCCCATCGCCACGGCTTCCGGCGACCTTGGGTTCCTATTCTACAACCTCGCCAACTCGGCCCCCGATGTGGGTCTGCCCGGCCTGCCGGCTCCGTACGACCTCAGCCTTGGCTTCCCCTCCAACACCGAGGAGGACTACCTTCCCCGCCTTAACCCGATTGCAGCGCCTCTTCAAAGCTACGCTCTTTTTGGTACTCAGCCCGTATCTTCCACCACCTCCGCTTGTCTCCTGTCCTCTAGCTTCAAAGAGCCGCAGCATAACGAGGAGGCAATGGAGAACCGACAGCTATCGACCTTCTCCGGCATCCACCAGCTTGTTGCAGAAGGGAGCCCGCCGATCTTCAAAGATGTCAAGCCCTTGTGCGGCACCAACGGGGTTATGACCGTGAGCGCTAATGGCAGGTCAGACTGGGAGATCCCGTCATGTGAGAATGCCGTCGACTTCCCGCTCTACTGGAACGCCGCCGCCACCACGATGGGCGGCGGTCTGTGGCCAGATTCTGCCAACTACGGATTCTCCATCGCCCCTCTCATTTGAACTGAAGAAGCCTCTTCACTACTTCTTTTCCTTCATCTTCGTGTTCATTGTCATGAAAGATCACCCTCCTCCATCTTCGAAAGTCTCTTTCTTCTTCTTCTTCTTCGACTTGTTAGAGTTTTTTAGTACAGGTTCTAGGAACATGGCCGGTGGGTATACTGATCAGAGGAGGGAAGAAGAACGTTGCCTCTCCGATGGTCGGAAATAGGAATGGCGGTGAAGAGTTTGGATCGGAGAGCTCATCTCGGCTGCAAATGTCTGCAGACCACGTCTGAAAGAGGACTTCTTTCGCCCCAAGAGGAACCTTGGATCCATTCTCCGATGAATCCAGCATTACATCAGCAGATGAACAACTAGGAGGAAACGCCAAGATTGAGGCGAGTACGAACTGGGTAGTTCAAGCAATCTCCATTCATATTATTCACCGAAATGAATCATATTGAAGCCTCCTCTTATGAATATCTTGTGGGTCCTTTTATCAAATTTCTTCTTCTTCGTGTCTTTTGGAAATTTGAGTTCGGATGCCCTTCCTACATCAACGAGGGATGAGACTGTGATCTCAATGGCGTAGTAGAAATTACGAGTCTTTGTGGTTCTAATTATACATTCTTTTGGTGTGGATTGGATCCCAGGGTTTATTGTGAAATAATGAAGTGTGGTTCATTCGTGTTCCTCTTAATCTCGCTGTGTTTGGTTTCGACATGCTGCCAAGACGTTTGTCTCTCTATGGACGGCGGTCATCAACAGAAAAATACGCTTTGAATATGGCTTAAATTTACATTCCGTCACAGTTGGGATTATGGTTGAAACGTTAGTTTCATAAAATCAATTGATGAATAGTAGTATCCTATCCTCCCTTCATTCCTCGACCGTTTATAAGGAATAGATATAGTCTTCATTACCAATGATCTTCTTCATCCCATCATTCTGCTCGTTATAGATATCTAATTGAATATTCCCTATCAGTTTTTCGTTTTATCCCGTCTATCGTTATTGCATCTGTTACGTAAGATATATGAAATAGGCTCGATTTTTTTCTGACATGTAACTTTTAATGGCAGGCGCGAAAATCCCCACCAATCATTCAGTTAATGTCTATTATTAGATCTTTTAGTTTACACGAGCTCATACGTTATTACATGTAATATTTTATCTGAATTAAACTTTCTGGTCAATGGAAATATGGAGCCATTAACAAGACCATTCATTCCTCCATTGACCTCCCTCTCATCGTCTTATTCACGTTTAATATTCAACATCTTCTTCAAATGGGAGATGACTTGTCAAAGAGTTGACCTTTACGTTGGAGGATAATACCCATTTTAAGCAAAAGGGAAAACTTTAATATTCGAGGCATTAGTCAACGGACTCGGAGTGCCCATCAACCACGGCAGACTCTGCGGACAAGCGTGCTGCGTGGATAGGCGTCGACGGAGGGAACAGTTAAGAGATTAAAGCTGTTGGGCACATTCATATGCAACGTCACCATAAATGAATGCCTTGTGGCCTTCGCAACTATATGAGCTATAATCTTCAAAAGCAGACCGTAATCGAGCATCACTCAGCAAGGCAAGTCAGATTAATGGCTTCTTCTCTTAACTTTTGTCCATTTTTAACCCAAGTTTTGTGTGATTAAAATCTCCAAATTGTACGCTCAATAAATTTGATTTTCTTAGGCTTTTATATAAAAATCCATTTTCTCTACAGTTCTCGATAGAAATCCATCGAAAACGTTCGTCCATAAATTACTCCTATCCATGAATGGATCATCAATGAGCAGCATTTTTAAAATATTGATACAATTCGCCTTGAGAGAGCGAGAGAGCGAGTGGGCGAAAGAGACAGCGAGAGAGAGAGAGAGAGAGTCTGGGAAGGGGAGAAAATATCAGAGAAATCCTTGGAACGCTTCTCTTATTGTAATGACTTAATCGAAGAGGCCTACGACTAAATTAGCTATTAAATATAATGAAAGAAACGATAAAAAATCTTCTTCAGCATTGGCTAAAACAAATATGCTTCGGCATTCACTGATAGTGGTCTAAGGATATCAATTGTCTTCTTTATTGGCACTCACTGCAACTTGGGGAGACCTCTGAAGTCGAGGTTCGCGGAGGAATTTTGAGGAAGGATGCGGCTGATAGACGTACATAGTGGACATGCCATAACAAGTCGATAGGCAAAATCTATAGACAGAAGGGAGAGGGAGAAATTTTTCGTGGGTACTGTAATCTTTCGATTAGGAGCTCTCTTGAGGGTTTGATCTGGGGGTAGTCTATCTATCCGCTTCAAGGTAAATCTTGAAAAAATATTAAAAGCTGAATTAGCCAGAGAAAGTGATAGGAACCATGGTCGTATATCTAAAAATATATGATCCTCAGCACGACAACTAACAGTAGACGATATTTTTCTCCCTCCTAAATCCATCTAATTTCTAAAATTCATTATGCATGATTTTGTGTTCGTTGGTCCGAGTTTCATGGTTCTTGCACCGATCAAAGAATCAGGATCACTAGCTCAATTGACCATTCTAGATTGGTTCGTCTAGAATGAACTCGAATGATTCATGTGTGAAACGTTGGCCGATTCAATTCTCGGGCGGGGCGCGATCCACCCCAGAAACCTGTTGGCTGATGAAGGTCGGCCAAGGGATTAGGTTTGTTGATTTGGAGGATCATAAGCAAGTCGATTAAGGTCCAGCAGTGGCTGACCAAGCGAAACACCGTACGCTATGTCTGCTCTTAAGGGAATCTTATAATGAGGTCAACCTTTTGACCCAATATCAGGAGACAAATACACTGTGGGTGGAGGCTTTGTTCTGAAGTAATCTCTTTGATCATGACCTCAAAGGTGAGAGACCCTTTTGAATGGCGCACTGGAATTTGTAGAGGCTTCATGGAAGCTTATCCCAGACCACGACTCTTAGAGTACTATTTCCTAGCTATTTCTTTCTCAAAGACTTTTTGTTGACTTTATCTTCATAGCTTTTGTCGGCCAAATCCGGCCGGCCAGACGAAACCAAGGATACGGTGAATTTATTTATTCGTCCATCTTGTACAATATTCAAGAAATGCCAAATAACGACAGAAAGAAAGAATGCATTCGACGAACACAGAATCCGAGACAGTCCGAGTAAAGCTTAGCTATATAACTTCCCGTGTCGAGCACGTCCATTAGGCTATCTCCGTCCCTCTCATCAATACCCATCGTACTTGGGCGGCAGAAGCTGCTGGATGAGACGTTTGGATCTCAGTCGTGGTTCCGCCGACTTTGCAAGGTGTCGAAAGGAACGTCGGACAGCGCAAAATATTTGGACAGCTCACCATGGACGTGTCGAGAGCAGAAGCTTCCCAAAAGTCCTGTCCCCCCTCCCCTCCCCTCCCCTCCCCTCTATTTGATGGTAGCTGGATCCTAGACAGAAGAACGCAAGGAGAGCACGCAGAAAAGGGAGAAGCATGGCGACCTTGCCTTTTGCACTCGTTCCCCTGGTCGGCAACCTCTCCAGGGCCTTTCCCCCGCGGCCCTTCCCCTCGCGCCCCGTCAGAGCCCACCACCTGCGTGCCATCACTTCATCGAGCTCCTCCTACAAGGTATGCAAACTCTCTCTCGTCGTTTCTCTCTCTGTTTCGTCTCGTTTCTCTCTCATTACACGTCATTGGGCAGAGCAACGAGGAGAAGGTGAAGGAGGAGGCCAGGACGGCGACGGATAAGGCTGCTGGGTCCGTGGGCGAGGCAGCAGAAAAGGCCAGGGAAGGCGGCAACCGCACCGTCGGGGCGGCCCGCGGGGCCTCCGCGCGGGCGGCGGAGATGCTGAAGGAGACCAAAGATGCGGCAGTGGAGAAGGCCGAGGGCGCGGCGGAGATGCTGAAGGAGACCAAAGATGCCGCAGTGGAGAAGGCCGCGCGCGCCGGCGAGAAGGCCATGGAGGAGGCGGCAGAGGCAGGCGGCGCCGCCGAGGAGAAGACGAAGGAAGGGGCGAGCCAGGCTGCCGAGGCGGCGAAGGAGATAGGCGACAAGGCGAAGCAGAAGGTGCAGGACGCATGGGAGGCGGCCAAGGACGCCACGCAGAAGGTCAAGGAGGCCGCCGCTGGCAAGGCCGAGGAGGCGGCCGACGAGCTCGACGATGCGAGGAAGCGAGCTTCTGAGAAGATAAATCAATGACCGAAAAAGGAAAAAAAACTATCTTTCATTGGGCCATGTAGGAGAAACACTTAGACCTTCTCTCAGTCTCCAATGTAATCAAATAACAACCAATCAGTTCCTCGTCGGCATCACACGCCTTCTACATAACGCATCATCATCACTAAATGGAGCTACCTGCCGTCAGAAGCTATGCCCGCCCATTCTCAGCATTCACGTCAGATAGTTAGAAAATATAATGAAAAGATGGAGATTATGAATGGAGTGTGGACAAAGAATGTGTTGCCTTCCCACCATACAGCATGGAATCCCATCGTGAGAGTGAGTTCTGACCCAACGAAGAGTGTAAGGTGAGCCTTGAGATTTGATAATAAGTCTTATTATCCTTATTTCTAGGTCAAGAAATATATTAATATAGATTTCATAACTTGATTGTAAATTTCATTAGTAACGTAATTAATAATCTGTTTCTATCAGAAGTTTGTTTGAAAATCAATATGATATATCTACTAACAGCTCAAATATACTAAGACAAATTAATTCGATGTGTAACGTTTAAAAAGTTGATAATATATATAAATAAGATGTTAAGTTAACAATCAAATCTTATTCAAATTACCTCGAATAAAATATAACTGCCAAGTAACCAACATGAATCAACAATCTAAATATTTTTAATTATTATTTCGATGATTAAAAATATTTATAAATATTCTTTCATGTATGTTTAGAAAAAATCTATTGAAACTCAGAATGAGCAATCTGAATTAAGTCTATTAAATCGAAGTTTGCCATAAACATTCTTCCTAAAAAATAAAGATGACAGTTGAAAATTTTTTAAAAAATGAAAAATAAAGAAAATAAAAAATAAAGAAAATAAAAAATATTTTAAATTAAAAAGGATTAGAAGTAATCACGACAGGGTTTAGTTTTAGATTTCTTCTAGTAGGAGGAAGGGGAAAGGGGGTGTGGTTGTGGGCTATTGGTTTTACCTTCCTTCCCTCGCTCCACAGCAATCATACAATGCAGGTTCTTGTTCTCAACTACAAGTGGGGACATAGGAGGGAGTGTGCTGGTTTCTTATTATCCCATCCAACTAGGAGGCACGGGGTTGGATAGAACACATGCACCCAAGGACTCATCTCTCTCTCTCTCATCTACCTCTCTTTCATCACATTTGTTGTTCACATATGCCATCAGAAGATTTATCTTGGCCCAAGAGAAACTAGGATAATTTTATTTTTATAATTTTGTACGGAACAAGCGATGTTTATCTTGATTGACCACATTTTTTTATGACATATATAGTGTGATTTAATAATGAATTTTGCACTCAACCCTTGGCACGCCCAAATGAACTGAGGAGATTGATAATGATACTAGTATATCAATTATTTAGGATAATGCTATTTCTTATAGGAAAACTGTGAATGCTTCTTATAGTATAATATTATTTCTAAAATACATTATGAGGCGCACCAGTCAACTTCCAGAAGAAAAAAGACTAATCTCTACGTTGCTTACCAGGTTGTCAGGATCCCTCCTTCAGAAGCACAGAATTATCCATTTCTTCATGAAATCTGGTTGCCCATGTACAGAACGTACAATCTTCTATCTTCTGTTGTCATATCATATTATTAGTACCAGCATAAAATGTGAATTAGAAAAGGAACGAAAAAGTCTTCAAATCTTATTAGAATTTACGTGTTATCGAAACTTCCTTATATAAAATTTCATATTAAAGGAAAACTATTACACAGATTATTGTTTTTTCCAGTTTTGGACTATGAAGTTTTATCAAAGAACATGCTTAGAAATGTGAAGTACAATCTATTTTAGCCAAAAACCTTGAAGTAAAAAAATATTCGTCCTTATATATATATATATATATATATGGAAAATTTAAATAACGTACAATTCTAAGGAGGTTCCATGCAGTGCTTTGCACAAGCTTCATAGGGGTTCAGCGCATCCAATTCTCGAACTGATTTCATGATATCAATCGTCGAATATCACGTGTTTAATAAATTAATCATAGAATCGTACAAATACACCTTTTATAATCATCAAAATACGACCATATACTATGTGACCCGTACTCATGTAAATGATCTGTAACATTAATGGAAAAGAAGGCAAGAGTATGAGAACTTCGGGTGAAAGATATCAAACAGCGTGTCAATGCGTTAGATGGAAACCCACGGACTTCAAAGCAAATATAATATGTTTCATCTCCTATGATGTCATCAGAGTGTGGAGAGAATCTTGACAAAGAGGGATGGAGATGGAAATTGCTGTCGGGAACTGCAATCGTCTATGAGCCACAAGTCAGCCACAGAGCCACATTGCCAGCCCCACTGTTGAACGGATGGCATCGCAACAAGCCCAAATGACAGTAATGAATTTCTCAAAGAAAATAAAATTAAGCAGGCTTTCCAAAGACACAGCATGAGAAAATACGCTTGCCTTGACGATCCAAGGGCGGGGCAGCCGATTCCTATCTCAGATCAGAAGATTTCTGGCCGAGTTCCAGGCGAAAAATAGTAGCGTTTAGGAATCTTATCCAATGGAGAATCGGTGATCCACGAACCATCCAAATTGGATAGAAGATGGAAAAGACAGCATAGCAACAAGCAATAGCCATAATGGTCTTGCATTTGAACGTGCTGGCACAGCAAGTTTGGGATGGTATTTCGTCTTCCATGATGTCTCCCAGATTGTGGAAGGAGTCTGGAGCCAAATAGGTGGTACGGAGATGAGAATCGATTTAGGGAACTGCTTCATCTCAGAGGCACAAGAACATCAGCCACAGAGCCAAATCGCAATCCCAAGCAATGATTATGCTCTTTTCCCAAGAAAAGAAAACTGCCCATATAGACATCAAAAAGAAGTATCCTGCCATGCTACAAGAGGTGTATATGTAAGCACATGCAATAACGTCACTATGCAGAGATGGGCAATAAATGGCAGAAAAACAAAAGATTCCAAAATGAGATGAGACGAGGCAACAAGCAGAACGAGTCTGTATACAGCTGAGAAAGGAGTGTCCTATGGCTGTGACAAACAGAGATCAAATTAGTAGTAGTACAATGAGAGTAAAAGGATTAAGTAAAGGAGAGTAGATGCAGGAAAAGGAAACATCAGCTTGATCACAGGTTTTTAAAAGGACAGTTTCTGTGGATTTGAATTCGCCTAAAGCATCCATATGTTTAGACTTCACTTCTCCACAAGAAAGCCAAAAAATTAAAATGACCCAACACGTGGATTTACTGCCACAAAGAGGATCCATGGTACTTTCCTTATCAGTTAATTAGGAAAAAGAATTTAAAGAGTAAAAAAAGATGCATGTGAGATTTTAAAACTACCCAAGCATTCCATATATCTCATGGTGCAAGAAATTTCTCAGAGAAGATAAGCTTGCAGGCTTCCAAAGCGAAAGGTTGGAAATCAAACCTGGCCCAAATGACATGCAATGAAAACTATCATTTAAAACGAGATTATTTTTATTTTACAAGAGTAGGAAGTTGTATGATGTAGCCTTTATTATTCTAGTAGTTACCATTCGCACAGTTGACTTCAATCGGGCATTTGAGAGCACAAAACTTCAAACATTTCCCTACTTTAACTATTTTTCAAATGAATAGAATGTTAGCAGCACCATTTTGACATGAGGTCCTCCTATTTAGGACCGAATCCTGCTTTCAGCTATGAGTTCGGGGTTTCACTGAACCCAAAAAAAGGAGCGAAGAGTTATGTAGTCATTGACTGTTTAATAATAACACATCAAACCTTGTCTGGAGTCAATTAAGTTATTCAGTCTTGTAGACACACTAATGATGCAGGTTTCACCTTCTATGTTCTCGCTAGATAATAAAAAGATATCTAGACAGAAAGGGAGAAGATGAAAATGATATTGGGAGCTGGATTCAACTCTAGAGACAAAGATTTTTCAACCAAAGAGCCAAACTTCAGTCCCAAGAAATAAATAATCACAAGGAAATCTTAAATCGCTTAAATTTCTTCACAAAAAGATTTTACATTTGAAAATTCGTAAATACTGACAATTAGGTGGCTTTAAAATTAATAAAAAAAATATTTCGCAATGATGTAATACTGCCCGTTAAGTAAGGCACACCGACGACCAGACCATCTGAGGTTGTTTCAACAGAAAACGCATGGATCCCCTCAGCGGACAAAGTTTTCTCTTTGGTGACAATTCAATGCTAACCAAGTGCGAAGTAAATGAATGATTGCTAATAAAATTATTTAAAGTGTCTTGCCCTTTCCATACGGGATATGATTAACAACTCAAAGTCTAATATCAGAGTACAAAGGGAAAGCACAACGCCCATTCAGCATTAGAACCCTCGATATCTTTATATGAAAGTTACATGCCTATTTGCATACATATTTATTGATTCCGTTTGAAACAAATAAAGTGTACACAGTTTCCCAAACGGGCATGTTAAGCATGCGCTAAGACTTCAAAAAATGAACAATTATAGGGAACAACGATCTAGGACTAATGACTGCATCTAAAAATTTATGTAAGGTCTGGAAGTAGAAATGACGCGTTATGAAAGCATTCCTTCCAAACACTCGTGCCACAACACGAAGTTCCAAAAGGTTAAATGAGCATAAAACCCTCAGTATCCACACAAACACAATAAGCGGAATGAAAACAGAAACTGAGAACAAGCTACAATACATTACGAGCTCCATCGAAGGCCCTTGCGAGGAACCAGAACCGGCCTTGTTCTTCATCGTCGAGAGCAATCGGTTTGCTGAAAACTTCGCGGCACATTCAGTCTAGAATTCGCAACGGGATTGCGGATGACGAACTCAGAAGCAGACCACAAACAAACCCCTAAGAAAAATAAAAAACAAAACACAATACACTGTCAACGATGCCCCAGCGTCCTTTCCGCCGGCACAATACCGGCACTGCCGCCGGGGTAGCCCAACCCTAGCAGCGGGACGCTTCCAGGCAATGACGTAGTGAAGAGTATTTTATAGAGAATGAACGACTAGGCATTTTCATAGAGAATAAACGAAAGGCATTTTCATTTAAGCCCGTGTTTCCATAAGAATATGTGGCAAGCGCAAATGTTTTAAGAAAATTATAATTCTAGTGAGTGAAGAGCAAATACTTGTTAAATGACGTATTCGTCGCTATTTCTTCAACTTATTAGGGATTTTCTCGAAATATTTCCTAATCTTATTATTCAGTATAGCTGCACTCTCTCCACTTCCTTCTTGTCTTCTTTATCATCACTTTCTTAAAAGGGGAGGATACTTAAAAAAATATTTTTTGGGGTTTTTTAAAATATTGTACATCATTGTAATTTTCTAGAAGGAATCAGAGCATGGATTCCTGTCAGCAGAACTTGAAAGGGTGTTTCAAAAAATACTTGTTTTGTAAGGTTTATGTGGAACATAATAATGTTTCAAGGGGTTGGGAAGCGAGAAATGTTTCGTCTTCTCTTTCATGTTATTCGTGATAATTAAATTCTATTAACGCCGTCGGTGGTTGCTTTCTCAACGACCGATCAAGGCTCCCTCCCAACCCCGAGCGCCCCCCCTTTTCCGGCTCTGGTTCTCGAGGAGCCCCTCCCCTCTCGATCTACTGCGTCGGCAGATCGATCGAGACCCTGTTGGCGAGACGTCTCTGTGTCCATCGAGGGATCGCCAGCCATGTTCAACAAGCTCTTTGGTAAGCCCAGGCAGGAGACTAATGCGCTCGTCACCCTTGACAAAATGAATGAGGTGCTTTCCTTTACCTCTTCCCATGCGTTAGTTATTTAATATCCACACCTTCCGACTGGATTGGTTTGAGTGTTAATTTTTCGACCGTATTTCCTCTCATGTCGTGGCAATTTGCCTCGCAAAAATTTGGGGGTAACCGTGGTGATGTTTCCTCAAACTACCGCGCAGACTCTTGAAATGTTAGAAAAGAAGGAGAAAGTTCTCCTGAAGAAGGCTGCCACCGAAGTTGAAAGAGCGAAGGAGTTTACACGAGCCAAGAACAAAAGGGGTAGGCCATTGAATCACTTTTATCTGTGGTTATGCCACACGTCTGAATTGCTCGCTCTTGGGTGTGCTTATCCTGGAGGCATCATAACAATCTCTCCCATTATTCTTTTATGTTAAATCACACGATATGCTTGTACTTTAATACTCTTTGCACGTTATTATTGTAATCATCTGAGTCTATTCTCGTGGACAATTCAACCTTCCTTTGAGGTTGTGCCAAATTTTCTGGTGGCAGAATGTGAATCTGTTCATATGGCGAGTATAAGATCATATCAAATACGAGCTTGAGGAAGGTGGAAATTTGGGCTTCCTTAATTATGAACTAGATAATTGGACTGTATTTTCTTCTATAATGAGACATAGGCTCAAATGTTTTATGGTATTCTTGCTCCTATAATGATCTGAACATCATAAGAATATAATCCAGGCTCGATCAGGATTTTTTTTTAACAATAAGGTACAAAGTTGTTATCCCAGATTTTGAGCTCATTTTTCAAGACGTGATTGAAATCCCTGTTTTGTGCATGAACTTGAAATGAAAACTTGGCCTCAAAGTTTTCCGTTTGTTCTTCACCCACCAAGTTGCCCACACAGGGGTTGAGAGGAAGATGATAATTTCTTGTTTCTATCTAACAATAATGATACCCTCACTATGGCGACGTTGTATTCATTTTAACTGATGAGATTTCATCTCACGTTCTATTCATATAAAATAGTTTGGAATTTCTCAATGCCTGTAATAATTTTGATCCTGATCCTGCAAATAAAAATCAATTTCTGAGGTTTCTGACTAAACGCATTATTTTTTTTTTTGGGGGGGGAGGAGAAGGAAATGCAGGATTGTAAAGGTGAAGAGAGTGAATGATTTATCTGAAGGAACATGACTCTGTTTAAATAGACGCGGATGACTTTCTGGTGTTCCATATCTAGGTATAGAAATCCCTCCTACAGAAGATGACACAACGATGTAATTGTCCATTACCTTAAAGCATTCCTATTAAATTAACCGTTTGCCTGAGGATCATTGAGTCGTACATTATTCATATTTATCATTTTGCATGTAACAAGCTATTGTCATGGGTTTTTTTCTCAAAGGCTTGTGGTTACTGCAACAGTGGTATCTTTTACATCAAAAGATTGCTGAACAGCATCTAAGCAGCAGTATTTTATCTTGATTTCTGTTTAGACATGTATTATTCGTATGTTTTAGATCATTGATCTCCAAGCAACCTGATGTTCGAGGCCATTTATGTCAAAGACTATCAAATAATGAATCCTCAGTGTCATCTTCTTCAAAGCACAATGAATAAGTGAGCATTCACGAGATTTATGGTGCATCTTTGACGGTCAAACGTTGGTTTCCTATTCTTCAGGCTGGCAATCTTTGTTATTCTTTAAAATGAAAACTACCTAAGAAATTTATTCTCAATCTGTGTTCACGTCATTATTCATTCTCCTGAAATCAGATGCGACATTGGCCTCTGGGAACTAAAATTGATTGGAGGTCATTTTCTAACACTAGAGTAAGCAGTAAATTTCCCACATTCTCTAGTTTCAAAGAGTCAGGTTCATTCAAGTTTAAAAAGGGAAAATGATAAATGATAGGCAGCAGGGATGTGGGATATCCTGTAATTTTTTTTTCCACAATAAAAATAGTCCCTCACTGTGAATTGTTTCTTTAAATGGAACTCTGCTTTGAGCATATGCATGGCTTACTAAATTGGCATATTAAATTTGGAATGGGGCAATATCTACTTCTTTGCTGATGGTCCTGGTTCAATGATATTTGAAGTTTAGATACAGCTACCCGATTCTGGGGAATCATAGTTTCCTATTCGAAGATAAATGTGGGGGTATGGTGTTTTTTATACAAGAACAATGTTTCACATGTTTCATTTTGTTACAAAGTGGGAATCTGTAACATGATTTCCCTTGAGCAATGACGTGAAAATGACCCCTTTCATTTGCACTAACGAGAGTGACGTGAAAATGGTCATTGCTAAACTGTTGATGAATAAAAGAAACTAAAAAATTAATGCTCTTTCCCAGAGTTCATTAGCCCTCATACTAATGTCTGCGTTTTTCTAATGCCAAATGCTGAGTCTTGATGCACACTTGTCAAGAGTATCATTCTTGTGGCTGCTTTTTATTATGATCATGAACCCAGATGAAATGGCTCCTGATTATATATAGAACTCCTATGGTTCAGCCACAGAAGATCTACCTGATTGACGAAATAAATTTACCTGATTGAGGCAAAAGAAGGATACTCCGGATTTATCTTATGTCTTCTGTTTGATACATGATCTATGAAGACTACCAAGATCATTTGGTCAAATTTTAAAAATAAGATCATGCATGCAGATTAATTTCTACTATGGGTGTATAATTGTTGGATTACGCACATGACTTCAGCAGAAGGACAATATTTAGCACCTCCCAAAAAGGAAATCACAATAAATTTGTGAGCCAATTAACTAACCCTGCTCATTGCCTAGAAGATACGTTTTTAGATAACTCCCTCATATTCTGCTCATAATATATCTGCCATCTTTATACCTGCTGAAGGCCTGAAATGGAACACGAATGAGATTTTAATTTTTAGTAAACAATAAATAAAAGGGAAACCACTGTTTCTTTGTCTAACCACCTGGGTATTTTTTTGGTGCTTCTAATGATCAAATTTCTTCTTATTTATTTATGTATGAATGCTGTAACTATCATCATCCCCAGTGGAATACGGGAGATGTGCAGGCATGATCCTGCTAGCAATTTTTGGCTTTCATAATGTGGTACTTTTCCTTCGCTAGCTCAATGTTTTCAAGGACACATGGAGTATACACAGTAGATTACTAATGGAATGTTTTTCTTCTAGCATTGTTTGTATTAGAGAACATTGTAGTCACTTTACTGGCACATCCAGGATATTATGCTGGACAGAAGAATTGGCAATTCATGGCCATTTATTTGAAATTCATATTTTTTTGGAGGCTTGAAAACTTTGTCTAACATTTATTTGACCTTGAATTTATTCTCATTACCTTTTTTTCTTCTCGGTTGTTTTTAATGCAATGTCACCTTTGAAGAAAAATATCTTCAACCTCAAGGGGTTGGACATGGGCTTAGATAATATTAGTTAGAATGAGAATTGTTGATGTGATGGGTTAGATAAAATTAATGCGTTTTATTGATTGAAAGAAAGTTTCGATGTATTGAAACGAACACCATTTGCTTGTAGTGAATTCCATAAGGGGGGCTGCCCTGTGGTGGAAAAAGGAAAAAGACCCTTGAAAAGTGTCTAATTGTACCCTCTTTCTCATGAGCTTTTCCCATTCCCCATGAACGAGTCAGCAATTAAAAGGACTTGTCTGGATTCTCATTTCAGTGATCGTTTTCTTCTCACTTTATTTCACTTTCGAGGAAAAGAACGAAGGGAGGCTAGTAGACCACCAAATTTTGGAAAAGAATATCTTACGTGGACATTCACTGGCATTTGTTGAAGGAAGTAATGGTCCATTTCTCAGATTATATACTGGGCATTCGAAGATTTTCGACAAAAGAAACTAACGGTTACGTGGTAAGATCAAATAATCCATTAAATATGCAATTCAACTTTTGACACGGCATATTTTGAATATTTTGGTGAAATGATGCGAAAAAATTACAATGAAGCAAAAGTCACAAGCGGTTTGATTGTCTGTTCTTTAGTGGGTGGGGAGGAGATTCCAGCTGTGGAATGACTTGAGTGGAAGAGACTGAACGTGGAAAGCTTAGAGTTTGGGTGGAATTAAATTGTGAAATGGAATATTTTTTTATTTATCTCAATAAATGAAAAAAAATAGATTTTCATCACCATATCTTAGTATTCAGTTGGTAAAACCAAGTGACTGGTTGGGTCAATGGATAGAGATGGTTTGGTGGCGATGAGAAGATCTAGGCGTCTGGGATTACGTGAGAACAGGAGATTGGAAGCGTTACCACCTTTCTAGAAAGTGCATGTTGGACTATGATCAATGAGATCTCATGTGGTTTTGAACCTTTTTTGTGTACAATTCTGAATGCGGGAAAGAATTCTCCTGAACAATGAGATTTGTGCCCTGAGTTTACAATAATTCGTTGTACATGAAAAGGAAAATTCTTCTTAGTGATCCAGAAAAGAAAAAAAAATTCTTCCTTTTCCATCTTGTCAAATTCTTATTTTGTAACCCATCAAACTTTCCCCTCAACTCAGCTGCAATACAATGCTTGAAGAGGAAAAGACTCTATGAACAACAAGTCGAGCAGCTGGGAAATTTCCAACTTCGAATTCATGATCAGGTAACTCTTATCAGTTTAGCCAATCGTGTTAAGGACAGATTGAATCTTGAACCCTGTGTTAGAGCTTGTTCTTCTTATGCTTATTGGTCTTTATTTCAGATGATATTGTTAGAAGGTGCAAAAGCTACAACAGAGACTGTTGATGCACTGAGAAGTGGAGCAGCAGCGATGAAGGCCATGCACAAAGCCACGTGAGAATCTACATTTCCTTTTGGGGTATTTTAGTTTTATCTCAGCATTCAATCAGCCCCAAACATGGGTTGCATATAAACTTCTGATTTCTCAAACACCTGAAGTTACTAATATTTGTTTCAGAGGAATGTTCTACATTTTCACAACACAGCTGGGAGGATGTAAAATATATTTAATTATCATTAAATTAAAGCACATGACACCATCTGTGTTTTTCTCTTGCAGCAACATTGATGATGTTGACAAAACCATGGACGAGATCAATGAGCAGACTGAGAATATGAAACAGATTCAGGAAGCTCTAGCCGCTCCTATTGGCTCCACAGCTGACTTTGATGAAGTATTTACCGATTTCGTCTTTTAATTTAGAAAAATACATTGTCATATAGGATATATATATATATATATATTTGAAGAGGTATATCCTGCAATGCATTTTTGCTGCAATGTTGAATTTTCTTTTGATGGTAGGATGAGCTGGAGGCTGAACTTGAAGAATTGGAGGGAACTGAATTGGAGGAACAGCTCTTGCAGCCTGCCACAACTGCGCCTGCTGCTCCTGTGCACGTTCCAATGCCCAGACCAGCGCGCCCTCTCCCTCAGAAGAACACTGCCGAAGATGACGAACTTGCCGCATTACAGGCTGAAATGGCTCTGTAATCAGGTTTCCGTTCTCTCCTTCGATACCTCGCTTTAGAAGGCTAACTATACTAGAAAGTGTAGCATGCCTGCCTGAAGAGGACTGAATGGAGGATGACGGAGAATTTATATCTTCAGTAGACCGACCAGTCTTTCTCTTCCAATGCTAGAGATCCATTCGACACCATCGTAAAACTTTGGCATGAGGTCACGGAGAGGACTTAGTAGACGATGCTGAAGAATTTCTATCTTGAGGAACCCACCACATCTTAGAAAACCCAGGTCCCCACCGCACAGTAAAATCCATCGCTGACATTTTCGTTTGAAAATATATTTTGCAGGCCCAGGCCCTTCCCTGGGTCGAGATGTTCTTTCTATTTAGGGGATGATTTTTAGACCAATTATTTATTCTGTGTGCAGGTGGACTCTTCTCAGAAGGAAGTATTGTGCCATGGGCACTTGGCATACTTGATAATGGACAGGAAACATTGCTTCTGGATCACACACGCCTATATATTCCTTCTTTGTTCAAGCACCGTATGTATTATAGTGGGGGATGCATTTGTGGATTTTTTGATGATTTCAAACTGTTGTCTCTAAACCCTCGTTCATCAGACATGTGGCTGCCGAATTTCAAGTACACAAAGGGTCCTCATCATGTGAAGTAGCTGGTTGGTCGCTATTTATGTTAAATGGCTGGACATGTTCAATCTCTGGAGGAAGAAATTTCGATATTTGATGATTTCACGGTGTTGGATGAGACTGAGCTATTTGATGATCTTCGGACCCAATAAAGCCTTTTACTTCCATCTTCACCATTGTTGCTAACTCGATGATCTTCCGACCATTGTTGCTAGCTCTAGATACAACCCCATGAGACACCCCCTACGTGATCTTCCGACCATTGTTGCTAGCTCTAGATACAACCACATGCTCCAAAGATCATCAAGATAGTCTAACTTGATGATCTTTGGAGCATCTTCACCATTGTTGCTAGCTCAGTCTCAGCTTGGATGGACTGAGCTATTCGATGATCTTCCGACCCACTAAAGCCTTTTATTTGATCTTGACCATAATCGTTTGATTTACTCATTTGCTTACATAGACATGGAATTTTTTACTTGGTTAGATAAAAGTGAGAAGATTCCACTTCTTTGATGCTTCTTCTCTCCAAGAATTGTCCATACATAGACTAATCTCCACACTGTGAAAAGGGGATTTCCTAAAACTAATGCCAAAATGGTTTCATTGGGGTACCAATCAGTTCTTAAAAAAAGGAATTTCTCTTCTCTCACTCTTTCTTTTAGCTTGATTTTCAGGTTCACATTTAAAAGCTTCCATTTCTCAGTTTTCTTTCTTTCTTCTTCTTTCTATTAGGTCCTTGTTTTTCTACAGAACTGAAAATTTCAGTCTCTCATCAAAGTAAAGGGCATAACTTAAACTCTATATTTCCCGGGTATTTTTTTCTTATATCTAGAACACAAATCGAGAATCACGTGAAAAGAGTTATAAATAGTAACAAACCCCATCAGTTCAATCGATTATGCAATCAGGATTTTGTATCAATCGGTTCTAGGAATGGGTTTGATTAACTCGGGATAGTAAAAATAATCATTTATACAGCGTTCTATCACAGCATTTCTCAACTTTAGGATCTCATTTTACACCATTTTGAACTTTAGCTTATTTCAAGCGAAATCTATTCAACTTACATATTTTCTATACAGTTTCTAGAATCTGCATCTCGTCCATGCAGTAAAAAAAGATTCAAATGGACAAGAAATTTGATTCCTCAAACCAGAAGGAGACCAAGGGTAAAACAAGTTATGAATATGCCAAGACTTATAGCTTTTATTTTATACATGTTGATTAGTTTTTTCCATTAGTAAGTAGCATGTACTATCAACTTATTGTTGGAGCACTCATTATCACCTTGATATAAACGTAAAGAATAGGTGTTGACGTGCTTTTATAAGTGCCAAACAATTATTGTAAATTATTGATAACCTATAATTGAAAGAACCAGGTGAATAATAAAAATTTTGGCACCAAGAAAATTATTTGAGGTGAACAATATCTAGTTTTATATCCAATGGGATTTTTATATTTTCTTGATTTATGTTTTTCACGAAGTAATATCAACAATTTTAATAATAAACAATTCATGTTTCCATTTCACATCAAATTCTAGTTTGTAAATTGTTTAATGTGTGACTTGATATCAACTCAACTACATTCGGGATACAGTGAAAAGTGATATATTTCATGGTTCTTCATTCTGTTTTGTCAAAATTGCCTTTAGAATCTGCATCAAAAGAAGAGATTTTCCCATCTCATACCAAAAATCTTGTGTTTGTGTGTTGTTTTTTTCGTTCGCTTTTTTAAGCATCTTCTTCATAAATCAGTCCGTGATAGATTTTCCTCCACATCACAGAAAGAGAATTATATACAATATCATGAAAGAACTTTCAATATTATCCACCAAATTTCTGTTTTCTTAGAGTTCCTTTGCACAGGCCCAAGAGCATATCATGTCAGTAAAAACTACTGGCATTGAAGAAAGAGCATCTTTTGTTATCTCATCAAAAATCTGAGTTAATCACAAAATTAGTTCTCCAGCACTCGACCAGAGTGGGAAGCTATTTTAGGTCTACAAAATATCTATGTTTTATCAAATCATACATCCTCATTATCTTAAATGGATAATAAACAAATATGACAAAATAGTCGATCCTCTCAGGAAATTGCCCATGTTATGATATTTTCCGACCAATTTTTCAAGTCCAGCAATGGGTTTGATCATGTCTTCTCTCCAGGTTAAATCCACTTCAAAATTCATATATTATACGTATTTCTAGTGTCTACATCCCAACTTTCCTTGGAAGAAGTATCACGGATTACAAGCCAATTCGATTCCAAAATTGGGGGTGTAAAGAAATCTGCGACCTCACCCGGACTTAGCTGTACGATGTCAACATTTTACTTTATATTCTGCAAAGCTCATGCTAACGTTCTACACTGCACCAGCTTTTTCATGAAGTACGTGAAGAGCAAAAACCCTCCTCCCGTGAGCCCTCTCTCTCCGATACAACCCCCTCCCCCCCCCCCCCCGCACAGCCCTTTTCCCCCTCTTTCTCCTTCGCTCATCGAGCACTTTTTTAATCCCATTGCGAATCCTGGGAACTAGTAATTGTCTCCCCGAGAACGAGTTCACGCTCCAACAAGTCTTCAAAATTTTGACTGTATATTATCCAGTATTCACATCCCAATCATCTTAAGCGGATTATCAACATGGAGGATAGACACATCCCAAACCTCACGTCAGAAGAAAGCCGAGGTGCCCAGAAAAATCAATCAAGTAGCGGAGACGTAGTCATGCGATCTCAATGCTTACTAGATCTTACAAAACGGCTATGTTTATGTTTTCGTCTGAGTCTTCTTTTCCATGCATCACCCCCTACGTGAACGGAGGACAACCCCCGCTACCCGTGAGCTTCTCTCTCTCTCTCTCTTTATCCCTCCATCTCTCCCTAGTTGTTAGCTGTTTCCCCTTCAGGTACCTAGCGGTGGTGTCGTTCTTATTTACTCGTTCTCCTTCACGGGTTGGAAATAGATAGGAGTTGTAAAGCCACCTCTACATTCAAAATGCCTCCCATGCACAATATCCTATATAAAGCCACTCTTCCCACCCTTCCTCGACCAACTCCCCACGGAGAAGAAGCGCCTCCGCCTGTCTTGTCGTGCTCAACAATGGCGAGGAAGCTCTGCTCCCTCTTGCTCATCCACCTCATCCTCTCGCTTGCCTTCACTGAGGGCGCTCGGGTGCTGCCCAACCGTAATGGAGCCCTGGAGGAGCAGAAGTGGTGGTTCCACAACGGCGATATGGGATTCGGCGGCGGCTACGGTGGGGGCTATGGGCTGGACCTGGGAGGCCTGGGAGGCCTGGGCTATGGAGGAGGCGGTGGATACGGAGGAGGATCTGGGTACGGGGGCGGATACGGCGGCGGCTTCGGCGGTGGCGGGGGGAACGGTGGCGGAGCGGGCGGGGCTTATGGAGGCGCTGGGGGGGGCGGCTATGGAGGCGGTGGGGGGGGTGGCTATTGGGGCGGTGCAGGTGGCGGCTATGGAGGCGGCGCCGGTGGCCAAGGGGGAGGGTACGGAGGAGGAGCGGGGGGAGGCTATGGAGGAGGCGCCGGCGGCCGCAGTGGAGGGTACGGAGGCGGAGCGGGGGGAGGATATGGAGGTGGCTCCGGCGGCCGCGGGGGAGGAGGATACGGAGGCAGTGCGGGTGGCTATGGAGGTGGCGCTGGCGGCCTTGCCGGAGGGTATGGGAATGGTGGCGGCGGCGGCTGGGGCGGAGGTTCTGGTGGTGGTGGGTACGGCGGTGGCGCCGGCGGAGGCTACGGCATGGGCCGTCCATGAGGGATCGCCGCCACCTTTGCCGCAGGGAGCTCCATTTAGCCTCCTCCTGGTGAGAAGCGCCTGTTCCTCGTAGTTGTCATGGCCACAACGGTCTCTATCTCCCTTCGCCTGTTATTTCGGTGAATAACGCTCTCTCACTTGGCTCTTGCATCTCTCAAGAGAAGGCTTCTTTCATACCCTGAGTTACGGTCATTCCTTCTTTATTCTTATCTTTGAACTGGTGGTACCGTTTAGTCGTACTTTCAAGAGAATTCTACCAGCACCCTGAAAATAAAATATCAAGGTATGAGCTATAAACGGATAGTGTTTTCAAGGGCATATCTTAGAGGATATTTTAAAAAAATAGAGATTATTCGTTAGTATTTCTCTCTCTCTATCTATCTGTCTTCTCTCCCTCTCTTTTCTTCTTTTCCTTTTCCACTTTCTTTATTCTTCTCACATCACACTTCTATTTTATTCTTTCCATTAAATAATAATAAAATATTAAAAGTATTCTATATATAAACTAAATTAATTTTTCATGAAAAATTAATCAATTTTCATGTGTTCAACTTGAGACTTATATCTATACTAATATCTTACTAAGTCTTACTCATAAATATCATTAGATAATGAGTATTTAAATAAAATGATTAGTGAATTTTGAATATTTAGGAAGACTTTCTTTTGATATCCATGGCCTCTAAAGCTCTCATTAAGCATTTATAATGTGGGCAACCTTTAAATCCTTTTACAAAGTTCAAAAATTGATAAAATGGGTTGATGAATCATCTTCAGTAGCAGTCACTTGATGAAGCAAACATCTAGTGATTGTCACTCGATAGAGCAAAAATATGGCAGCTTTTGAATCTCTAGTAGTTGTAACCCATTAGAGATAAGATGGATGAAAGTGATGTACATCTTAGAGAACTTCTTCAAGTCTATGCTACAAGAGAGGGCTCATATCACATTCGATTTAGCAATTAGAATCGCTAGATCATCGACGAAAATCTCATCAACATGATTTGCGGAGCATTTTTACTAAAATTACTAAACGATTCACGATAAAAGGATCACAAATCTATCGAGTAACTCATCTTCAATTGATTAATGAACAAGCCGTCATCGAGAAGAGGACGATCTGTCGGGAGACGGGTCACCACCTCCTGAGAGCATACCAGATGCGATGAAGAGCCTCCTCTTGCTATACAAACTTGAGGATGAAGCTTCTCAACACGCGCCACACCTTCATCTAACTCCTGTCCATCGGGTGATGACGTGACTTAGTCATTGTATATTAAATCACGCAAATTTAAAATTTATAAAACTAGAAAATATAAATTTTTAGATATTTAGAAGTTTTTCTGAATAAATATATTAATTATAATTTAATAAAACTTTCAAAAATAGTAGTAATTTTCTAGATCAATCACAGGGATGTAATATAATATCTGGTAATTATTCAGATTTTTTCTAAATGAATACGATTCTCTATGAATTGTATATTAGGAAATGAAAAGGAAATATATTTAAAATTCATAAAAAAGGGAAATAAGGGTGCGGATGTTAGGATGATGTCAACACTCGGCAAATGTGAATCAGGTAGAAATAGAGTTCCGTCTGATGATTCTTACGTAAGTGATTACAGATGATTTAATTAATCAAATTAAGATCTAAAAAGCTAAAAGAATCGTAATAGAACAAAGTATATTTTGATAAATTAAAACCACAAAAATTATCACTAAATGAAGCATAAAGTAAGTTGAAAGTACAAAAATAGAGTTCTAGCGTCGTGACGGTGATGCGTTGACGATGCACAGGAATCTTGAGTGTTTGGAAGGATTGTCGTGTAGTGTCTATGGCCTCGAAGGCTCTCCTTGGACAAAGACGGCTTGGGCAATCTCTAAATCTCCTTGCGAAATCTAGAGATCAATGAAGTGGGTTGTTGAATCATCTCTGGTGGCTGTCACTCGATGAAGTGGAAAAAAAATAACTTTGTGGCTCTCCGGTGGCTATCACTTGATGGAGAGGAGCTGGATGGGGGTGGGCCACGTGTCAAGGAGCTTCATCCTCAAGTCCACACATCAAGAGAAGGCTCTTCATCGCATCTGGTATGCTCTCAAGAGGTGGCAACTCATCTTCTGATGGATCGTCCTCTTCTAAATGACAGCTTGTTCGTCGATCAATCGGAGATGCTTTATTCGATAGATTCGCAATCCTTTTATTGCGAATCGTTCAGCAATTTTAGTAACAATGCTCCGTGAATCCTGTTGATGAGTGATAAGTCTTCATTATCATGAGTTAATAATTAGTAAACAATATAGTTTTAGCCTTAACTCATGATAAATAGACTTATATTTGTGTTAAATAATGATTTTTGGTTTTCAATTGATTAACGTGAATTTTTGGGTAATTATGTGATTTTATACGATTTTTACAGTCTTACTTTTGAGAGAAATGAAGAACAAGAAATAAAAATAAAATCATTGCAAAAATGGGGGGTCCCGCCGGCCAGCTGGGCCCGCAAGTGGGTCGGAAGCGTAGTCGGGGAGTAAGCCGCGAGCAGGGGCTCGAGCGGCTTGGCTTAGGGACCGACAGAGCACGCGCGTTCGCCACTCCCCTTCCACGTCACCAGTGGCCAGCCGGCTGTGGGGCAAAGAGTAGTCGTACACGCGAGAGAAGTGACTTTGCTCACAAAGCTAACATTACTATATATTCGCCCGAAAACTCGGCGTACAACCGATGTGGGACTAAACCCCCGTCACACCTTCCTCAGAAGAGGCGGGGTGACCGGCGCGGGTTCGAATCCTCCCAGAGTCAAAATTCATATATTTTTATCTGAATATCACGACTTTCCTGCAGATCGCCGGTGAAGGATTAAGCAACGAGAATCGCTAGATCATCGGCGAAAATCTCGTCAACGCGATTCGCGGAGCATTGCTACTAAAATTGCTGAACGATTCGCGATAAAAGGATCGCAAATCTATCGAGTAAATCATCTCCGATTGATCGACGAACAAGCTATCGTCGGGAAGAGGACGATCCGCCGGGAGACCAATCGCCACCTCCTGAGAGCGTACCAGATGCGATGAAGAGCCTCCTCTTGCTGCACGGACCTGAGGATGAAGCTCCCTGACACGCACCCCACCTCCATCTAGCGCCTCTCCGTCGGGTGACAGCCGCCAGAGAGCCGCAAAGTCGCCGTTTTTCCGCTCCGCCGGGTGACAGCCATCGGAGACGATTCGATGACTCACTTCATTGATCTCTAGACTTCGCGAGAAGATCTAGAGGTTGCCCACGTCGTCTTTGTCCAAGGAGAGCCTTCGAGGCCGTGGACATTGCACGACGATCCTTCCAAACGCTCAGGATTCTGGTGCATCGCCGACGCATCGCCGTGGTGACGCTGGAACTCTGTTTTCCTGCTTTCAATTTAATTTACGCTTTATTTAGTGATACTTTGTGTGATTTTAATTTACCAAACTATACTTCGTTAAATTACGATTCTTTTGGCTTTTACAGATCTTAATTTGATTAATTAAGTCGTTTGTAATCGCTTACGTAAGAATTGCCGGGCGGAACTCTGTTTCTGCCTGATTCGCGTTCGCCAGGCGCTGACGTCACCTTGACGCCCGCACCCTTATTTATTTTTTTTTCGTGAATTTTAAATATATTTCCTTTTTATTTCCTAGTATAAAATTCGTAAGAAAATCGTATTCATTGAGAAAAATTCTGAATAATTACCAGATATTATATTCTGTGATCAACCTGGAAAATTACCGCTATTTTTGGAATTTTTATTGAATTATAATTGATATATTTACTTTGAAATACTTCTAAATATCCGAAAATTCTTATTTTCTAGTTTTATAAATTTAATATTTGCGTGATTTAACATACAACAACTGAGTCACGTCAATGAGATTTTCACTGATGATCTAGAGATTTTGGTTGCTTAATCCTTCATCGACGATCTGCAAGAAAGTCGTGATAATTAGATAAAAAAATATTAGTTTTAGCTCTAGAAGGATTTGAACCCGCGTCAATTGCCCCGACCCTTCTGAGAAAGGTGTGACGTGGGTTTAATCCCACATCAGTTGTGTGCCACTTTTTCAGGTGAATATATAATAATGTTATAGTTGTGAGCAAAATCCCTTCTCTCGCGTGTACGACAACTCCTTGTTCCACAGCTGGCTAGCCACTAGTGACATGGAAGGGGAGTGGCGCACACATGCCCCTATCGGTCTAAGCCGCTCGAGCCCCTACTCGCAACTACTCCCCGACTATGCTTTCGACCTGCTTGTGGGCCCAGCTGGCCAGCGGGTCCCCCTCATTTTGTCTTTTTTTTTAATTTCCTTTTCATCATTTATCTCAAAAGCAAAACTATAAAAATCATAAGGCTCTCATTCATTAATAAATACTTTCTATTAATAGACCATAAAATGTGATCAGGCCATATAATTTTCGAATTAGCTCTTACCCAATCTAAATTTTTTTCATCTAAATTGATATCTCTAATTCTTCCATTCATCTATTTCTTAATGTCTTCTTTTATCTACATAATCTTCCCCTACTCCATTTTATCTTCTATACATATTTGTTCAATTTGCGAGGAGTGAAATATTTCAAGCTTAGAAATAATTCTAATGGGCTGTGGGTTTTGAAGGATGGAAGGATTGTCTTCTTTAATCTTAGATATAATGAATTCAGTAAAATTAAAATTTTCTCCTCTAAAATTATCTCTATATTCATATCCATTATTTTTATTTCTTCCCATTAGTTGAATCAACTCTTTTTCTAGCTTTTCATTTCTCAACTCATCAAATTCTTCATTTTCCCAAGAGCTATCTTTTAATTTCAGTATATGATATACATCATCATCCTCACTATCAACATCCATGGCTATAAAATTATGATTAAATTTATTAATTTTGTCTCCTACATCTCCCAAAACAACTGATTTTTTCTCACCTAAAATATGTTTCTCTTCATTTCTGTCCTTACTCCCTTTTACTAAAATTTAG